GGTATACCCACTCCTCACCTCCATGCAATATGCTAGTACAACTGTTTGGATTGTTCCTGACCAACATGGCGGGTGGTCAAGAGAGGAGGTCACTCCTCTCAAATGCCAGGACCTAAGAGCCAACTGACGCTGGCCACAATGGAGCTGCTGGTTTTGCACCTACAAGTCTAGATCCGTGTAAGCCACACCCCTGGCACACTTCTAAAATAACTCGTTTTGGTAATTCAGAATGAGAAATCTATTTTCTTATGTAATTAAGACCTTTTGGGAACACTTACATTTTCAATTTTCAGGACTGCCCAGAAAATCGTACCTATATGGGATTCGTTGATGGAAACAACAAAAAGACGTGATAGTTGACTATACCCTGAAGCTTTTCCTGTGGGAGACACTTTGTGTTTCTGTTTGTGATATTGTGATTTATAATAAGAAATATATATTTGGTCTTCATGCCTGTTTCCAACACAGAACTCCAAAACCCTTGAAATCCCTCAGTGATGAAAGCTGTAAAGGTTTCTTTTGTCATGTTGATGAGGTGCCTCTAGGACCTTCACCTCAGGTTGGGGGCTGGTTGCCATGAGAATCAACCATGTGGTTTCAATCCCACCCCCTCACCTCCAAGAGGGGAGGGCTGGAGGTCGGATCAGTTGCCAATGGTAAATGATTTAATCAACCATGACTTTGTGATGAAGCCTTCCTGAAAACACAGAGGGATGGTTTAGGAGAGCTTCCAGGTTGGTGGACACGTGCACATACCAGGAGGGTGACACACCTCAACTCCATGAGAATAGAAGCTCTGGCTGTTCTGGGCAATCAAGGCCTCTCCCCACTCCCCTGTCCTTGGACTATAAGTTCCACTCGCTGTTCCCATTTTCAAGGACGCCATTTTCAAGGATGCGGCCTTGGAAGAGCAATGTGTTGTTGAGAACATCTGGATGGTGTTTATGACTGAATCCTGGTACGGTCTTAATATGAACGTTTAAGATTCTGGCGGCGAATGCAGAGGTCTCCTCCGCTTATGGTGCCTAGGACAGATCTGGTACTTTCCTTTGCTTCTTAAAACCACCACTTACCAACCTGAAGAGGTCTGCCTCTCCTATCTTTGCCCTCTGTATTCGGGGCCAGTGTTTGATTTCACCTAGGAAGATCTCAAGCTCGTGAGCCAACAGTACTTAAGGCCATGAATTTACTTTAATCACCTATTTAAATATATTTCACCGATTCTGATATGCAGTGTTTTATAATTATATTTTGTATATTCTTTAACTTCAATTTTTATTTCCCTTTCCACTCAAAAGATGTTTAATAAGTTATTCGATTTCAAAGCAGAATGCCTTTTTAAATTGTGCTGATTCCTAGTTTTATTGCACTGTTTTCTGAGAATATTGTTTATAATATTTATATTTTATATAGAACTTAGTGGTCATTTTCTTACCCCACATAGGATCAATATTTCTGAATGGTTCATGTGCACTAGAGAAGAAGGTGTGTTCTCTATTATCAGGGTGTAAAGTTATTTAGATTGACAATGATATATTGACATAAATTCAATCTTACAGAAAAATTGCAAGCATACTTGCATATAAGCCAAATATAAACACATACTGAAGTATATATATAGTACCTTGTTGATTATGCTTTTTAAAATAGATCCATAGAAATATATATATAAGACACTATAATTTTAGTATCTATATCTATATATAGTACCTTTTATGTCATTCAGATCTTCTATATATATGTTTTTTCCAGTTTCTCTAACTTGTACTGAAGGTGATGTGTTAAAATAACTCACTCTTATGCTCTTATTTATGTCTCTTGTGTCTCTTTGTAATTTTTTTCTTTTAGGCGAGGCAACCCTTGGTTGACCTCACAGATTGCAAGGAACTTGTCAGCTTACAATCCCTTATTTATTTTTTTTATGCCTACAGCACCTGGTCTTCCTAGGTGGTCTCCCATCCAAGTCCTAACCAGGCCCACCCCTGCTTAGCTTCTGAGATCAGATGGGGTCGGGCTTATTCAGGGTGGCATGGCTATAGACTCTTTGTAATTTTTGCTTTTTAAAATTTGTTGCTGGGTTTTTTGTGAATAGATATAATTGTTATAAATTCCTTATTATGTTTAATTTTTTTAATTTATAGTTAGCCTGATATCAGCATTGCTACATATGATTTATTATTTCTAATTACCTGATATACTTTTAGCCAAACATCTTTCATTTCTATCATCGGCAATTTGTCTTTTTTTCCTTCTCATGATCAGTTTAGCTAAAGGTTATCAATATTATCAGTCTTTCTAAAGAACCAGCTTCTAGTTTCATTGAATTTATTTATTACTTTTTTATTTTTTATTCTAGCCTTTATCTTTATTTTGATTTTCTTTTCTTCCATCTATATACTTTTTATTTAATTTGCTCTTATTTTTCTAGTTTCTTAAGGTGAGTGCTTAGATCATTAATTTTAGACTTTTTTCTTATACTGGCATATAAAACCACAGATTGTCCTATAAGTACTGTTTGAACTGCTTCCCACAAAAATTTCATACGTTGCATTTCCTTTTTATCAAAATATTTTATTTTTTTCTTTAAATATATTTTTTGAAATAAAGGTTATTAGAAGAATGTTGTTTAATTTTAAATTATTTGGGCATTTGCTAGCTGTATTGCTATTCTTAATTTCAACTTAATTCTCTTTTGGTCAAAGTATATTTTTAAAATATATTCTTTAAATTTATTGAGATTTGTTTTATGATTTAACATTGATCTATCTTGGTAAATATTCCACGTACATTTGTAAAAAAAAAAAAAAATCTGGTTTGTTTGTTTGCTTGGAGTGTTCAATAGGGACCAATTAGTTCAAGTAGCTTGATTGTGTTGTTCAAATATCCTATACACCTACTGACTTTTTATCTAGTGATTTTTATCAATTACTGGAATAAACATGTTGAAATCTCCAGCTGTAACTGTGGACTCATCAGCTGGCCTTTTCAGTACTGTTTTTCATTCATGAATTTTTAAGCTCTGCTATCAGTTCTGTATCAATTTACGTGGTTCGTGTCTTTTAATAAATTAACCACTATATTATTAGGAAATTCCTCTTTATCTCTAGCAATAGTTCTTATCCTGAAGTCTAGTTTGTACCTTATTAATATAGCTGCTCCAGCTTTCCAGTAACTAGTGTTTCCATGCTACATCTTTTCCCGTCTTTTTTGTTTTAGTTTTCGTCTTTCAGTCTTTAAATTTACAGTGGGCTTTCTTTTTCTGTTGACAAGATATATTTATGTTACACTTTTAAAATTAAGTCTGGAACTCTCTTATAGGTGGGGTGTTTTGATTATTTGTATTTAGTGTAATTATTGAAATGGTTGGATTAAAAGTAATATTTTATATTTTTAGTATACCATTTGATATTATTTACTGGCATATTAGCCTGTTTATTTGTTTGTTTAGTTATTTTATTTATTTTTACTGGCTACTCTAGGGTTGACATTACATATTCTTAACAGTTGTTTGGTTTTTTTTTACCAAATTCTCTCAGCTGTTTTTGTTTCTCTGAAAAGTGTTTATTTTGTCTTAATTTTTGGTAGATAGTTTTACTTGTTTATCAACCTGAGTGGACTAATTTCTTTCTGTACCATAACAATGTGGCTCCATTGGCTATTGGCTCGCATGGTTTCTAATAAGACATTTACCTGTCTTTTTCATAGTTGTTACAATAGAAACGTTGACATAATCTGGTCCAACCTATCCCAAGTCAGAAGCATCCAGAAAACTTCCATTTGAAGTTTGTGGGTCTGTAAATATTTGCAAAAGGGCATAGCACTCAGAACTGAGTGGCTCGATCATCTATAAATCATCTACGTATGGGTCAACAAAGAATCAAAGCAAATGAATTGTAGCATGTTCTGATTAATGCACTCACTAAAAAATTAATCATGGCAAAGAATATTGAAATGATAGAGGAGTCATTTGGTCAGCTGATCAAAAGAGAGTGGAAATGGCTATAGTAACACCAAAGTAATTTCAGAGCACAGAAAGTTACCAGGGATAAAGATGGACATTACATAATGATAAAAAGGCCAGCTCACCAAGAAGACATCACAATCCTAAATGTGTGTGTTCTTAACAGCACAGCTTCCAGTTACACAAGGCAAAAATCTGTTAGATCTGAAAGGGAAAAGAAAAGTTTCTAATTTTTGTTAAAATCTTCAATACTGTTTTCTTAATAATCAACAGAACTAATAGAAAACCAACAAAAATATAGAAAAACTAACCAGGACCATCAACCAACTAGATCTAATAGATGTTTATAGATGTTTATATACTACGCCCCTCATTCAATAGTAGAATCCATCTCTTTTAAAGTGCATATGGAATATTCACCAAGACAGATCATATCTTGGGTCATAAGACAAATCCTAACAAATCTGACATACAAAATAAATTTTCTGACCATAACAGAATTAAACTAGAAAGCAATAAACAAAAGATAACAGGAAAATCTCCAGACACTTGGAAATGAAACAACATATTTCTAAATAATTCATGGGTCAAAGAGTAGTCTCAAGGGAGATTAGGAAATATTCTGAACTGACTGAAAATGAGATATAGGGGGTTGAAAATCCTGATTATCCAAATGATGATATCAATTAGGCAATGATATCAGCCAGCCAGTCTAGAGCTCTGTGTAGAAAGCAGGTTTTCTCTGATAAAACTCTTTCCTTTCTCATGATTTAAAGATAGTGCTTAAAATTTTGATATTAGCCACAATTATCTTGGACATAATAGAGAAAAGCTTACAAATATTGGATTTCCTCTCTATGATTCCTCTTTGTAATAAGATATGTCCGGGCAACAAAGTATAAATGACACAGCTCTGCAGGAACTGGCTGTATGCCAATGAAAAGAAAAAAAAAGTCCAAGAGTAATCACGTGAACGTGATATTTGGCAGGGCCAATAGAATTGAAATCATAACCTCTTCTGAAAGCGGTCTGTCTCCACAGGAACTTTTCACAGACATCAAACAGTTAAAACAGATTCTAGAGATGCGGTAAAGACCAGGAAAAAATTATGTGAATCATTTTCTTCTAAATAAGGAGACCAGTGGATTAAATGTGTTTCTAGATTGCTTGCTTCAAATTTCTCAAAAGTAAGTTCATTTTGTTTTTCTGTTCTGTTTTGAGGGTTTTCCTTTTCCTTTATTTTTTTTTTTCTATCACAAAATTATACATAGGTCTTTAGGAATTCAGTGCCAATTTCTCTATGGAGCAATTATTTTGAAAATTAATGGGCAATTTTGATGTTTTTGGATATCTGGTATTTAATATTACAAAAATTAAAGCATTGAGTTAAAATATAAGTTTTAAAAAAAATGATGCAACTATTATATGGTTTAAGACAGAAACTAAGGGTGAGAATAAGCTGAAATTTGCTAATAGATTGTAAAGAACTAAGAATATTGAGAATTTATTTGTAAACCTGGATTGTTTTGAAATTCTTTATTTTGATTGCACAATAATTCAGGGACATTCCAGATGAACTGTTTTCCTGACTTTGAGACTATTTACCAAAAAGCACTAACAGAGATATTTTTATTGTTCCCGTCTCTCAATCTCAGGCTCTAAGAATTTTAGAAATGTAAGATGATCTCCCAAATTTTTTTACTCTGTGTACACCATGGATCGAATCAGAATGTGAAATATGTAGCTTTTCCTTATCTCAATATTCTTTCAAAATACACGTTATTTTCAGTAAACAGAATTTTCGTGTTCCTATAGTGTAAGCATTTTGTTCTGAATTTAACAACTTATGACAGGAGGAAAACCAGAGTCATTACAGTTTGAAACGATTTATGATGTGTATAAAAAGGAACTCATGTGGTTGTTAGACCTTTGATAAATGACAGAATCTACATGGAATTAGGGGAAAATAAAGTAGGCGATACTAATTCACAGCGGAAAATCTGAGGGGTTGGAGCAAGACAGAAGTTTTCATGCCACATGGGGAGGTGGCTGATTCCACAGTGAGGAGGTCACTCTCTTGGCCTGCTTTACCCCCCTGTACGGCCCTGCACGGTCCCCTTGAAAGTGACCACCTTGAATTCTCAGCACCAAGAACCGTCTACAGGGATCCTCAGCCCCCTCTCTCTGGAGTCTGACTTCATGCTTTTAATGATTGGAATTATCTTCCTCCCTCTGACTGTCACTCCACGGGCTTTCTAACCCCTCCACGCAGTCCGCTGCTACCTAGATTTGTCTCTCAGTCTCATTAAGCAGCATGTGTAGGTTCTTCCTCTGGCAATGCTGTCTGAGGCTGTCTGGGCTACTATGCCACCTGGTGGAACTGGCCCCTGCACATCTTACCTGAGCTTTGTCTCAAGGAAATAGCCCAGCCCCGAGCATTATCTTGTTCTATGAATGAATGAGAGTTTCAAAGGAGGTGCTGGGGGTGGGGGAGTGAGGGGAGGCATATCCACTCATTATCACGATGGAGGAGCTCATGGCAACCATGTAGTTTCTATCCCTGGCCAACGTGGGATACACATAGGAGGAGACCACTTGCTCCAAATTCAGGATTTAAGAGCCAAATTCAGAGTGGAGATGCTGCTCTGTGCTCAGAAGTCCTGACCTATCCTTTCAAGTCACACCGCTGGCATGCTTCCCAGAAAACTGGTGACCGTTCCAGAATCTCTCTTCTTTCTACAGATCAGCTTAGGTAGTGTTTCCTCCTGCAGTGAAGACCTTCGAGAGCACTCGAGAACCACCATTTTCAGGAGAGACTTGGCAAATCGTATTGTATAATATTGGTTGATTAGGTACTGTAGAAATAATGTGACATTATTATCATTCACTGAGGCATCCCCTTCTGGGACGTATTTGGGGTCCTTGCTGCAGAAAAAAAAGGGATGTATATAAATTCCCCTGCCTCCTCCTCACCACCACCGCTCCCCAACACACACATACACACATGCACACACACACACACTCATACATATGCTCTTTGTCAAGGTTGAATATGCTGCAACTGTGACTTGCTGCTTCTACCAGGAAGAGGAGTGTGGTCCGCTGCTGTCCTCCTGGTCCAATATCTATTAGAGACCAATGCTGTTCTCTGCAGACGATTTTAGGTAGAGTCCATGGGATGTTTTCATAATGAACTAGCCTACACACCAGTCAGAGGGTCTTGGGTTCTTAATCCAGCTAAAGTTTACACAAGCCCAGTTTGGGTGGAATTTCTACCCTCCATCTCAAACACAAGCTCAAGTATATGACAGCCTCCCCACAGGAACCTGTATATTATATTGACAAAATAATTAACTGAATACATGGTAAAATAAATCTGATTTTCGTGTACTTTAAATTAAAGATTGAGGAAAATTTCTATATAATAACAACCAGAATGATCAGGATTGGAATTCAGCAGAGGTAAAGTATCTAGAAAGTCTTTGTTTTATGAAGAGGTTAAGGATAATAAATGATAAGTTTTCATTAAAAAAAAAAAAAAAAAGATAATTCTCTAAGAAAGTCCAAAATTTAAGAGTAACTGTTAAAGGAATCTAAATATCTTTTATATTTTGGGGACAGGAAGGAAAACATGGGGGGAGGGCAAACTGGATAAAGTTCAATAGAAGTGACATAATTAGAAGCAAATGAAAAGCAAGTTTAACATGAGAAGAAAAAACAAAGAAAGGGCCTCCAAAACTGGAATTTATATACGATTAAATTTACCTCTTAAAAATATAGTATGTATCAGTTTGGGTTCCTAAAAATATAGCAACCATGAGTTTTCTATACATTAAGCAAACATTTAAAAATTTAGCAAAAGGTTAAAAGATAAAGGTATGGATAAAACTACATTAGGCAAATTTTAAGCTACAGAAACCTCATGTCTCTGTGCTTTTATCAGAAATAGAAGCAACCTACCATTAAAACTTGAGCAAGGAAGCAATGTTTTATGCAACTAACTTGAACCCTTAAACTAAATACTAAAAGAGATAGAATAAGAAATTGGCAAACCTGTTATCGGAATGGAAAATTGAATAGAATTCTATCATGAAACGATTAATCTCATAAATATAAGGAAGGATGCTGAAGATTTGAAGAACAAAATTTAAAAGATTAAATGGATATTTACAAAACAACCTAAAAGGTGATATACATCTATTTCAAGCACACATGGAATATTTCTAAATATTAAAACATGCCACACCACCAAGGAAGTCTCAAGGAATTTCAAAGAAGTAATGTCTTACAAGTAGGAGTTCCTTTGACCACAACGTGATCAAGTTAGAAGTTGAAAATAAAAAGTGGCTAGAACCAAAGAAACTTCAATATTATAGAAGCTCAATAGGCAATCCTAAGTAACATATCTGTGGTCTATTGCTGCGTTTACATTTCATGGCAAGAAAAAACAACAAATAACATACAACACCAAGCATTTATATCTGAGATGCCTGGTGTGCTTCTTTTAAGAGGCTCTGGTGATCCTGGATAGGCTTGCTCACATTTTTGGGGCTCAGCTGGCTATCGTCTGATGTAGGCAACTCTAAACTGAGATGACTGGAATGACTCAGCTCTGTTTCATGTGGCTTTCATTCCTTAGAGGTGCGCCCAGGTATGTTCATAGCAATGGCAGAGCCACAGGAGCAAGCAGATACACTCAAAGCCTTGTAAGGTCTAGGCTCAGAAATGGAACATTGACACCCCCACCTCCTTCTGTTGGTCAAAGTTATAGTCTGACTTTATGGAAGAGACTACAAAGTTACCAGACCATGGGTGTGGACACAAGTAGAGATGAAGAATTGGGGCCACTGTCTTGAATAAGAGTGATGAGAGTGAACATTCTTGTCTTGTTCTTAATCTTAGAAGAAAAGCTTTCTACCATTCACCATTGAGTATAATGGTAGCTGTGCATTTGTCATATATAACCTTTATTATGTTGATGTATATTTCTTCTATACCTAATATTTTGAGGTTTTTTATCATGAAAGGGTATTGTACTTTGTCAAATGCTTTTTCTACACCTATTGAGATGACCATATGATTTTTATCTTTTATTCTATTTATGCAGTGTATAGCATTTATTGACCATCCTTGCATCTCAGGAGCAAATCCTATTTGGTCATGGTGTCTGATCCTTTCTGTGTAAATTTAGTTTGCTAATATTTTATTGAGAATTTTTGCATCTATATGCATTAGAGATATTGGTCTAAAGTTTCCTCTTCTTATAGTATCATTTTCTAGCTTTGGCATAAGGGTAATGCTAGCCTCATAGGATAAATCTGAGAGTATTCTTTCCCCTTGACTATTTTGGAAGAATTTTAGAAGAGTTGGCATTAATTTCTCTTTAAATGTTTAGTAGAAATCACCAGTGAAGCCATCTGATCTGGGGCTTTTCTTTGTTAGGAAGTTTTTAATTATTGATTCAATCTCCTTACTCATTATTGGTCTGTTTATATTTTCTATTTCTTCATGATTCGGTCTTGGTAGGTTGTATGTTTTTAGAAAGTTATACATTTTTTCCATGTTATCCAATTTGTTGGTAAATGGCTGGACACAGTAGTCCCTTATGATCTATGTATTTCTAGTATCAGTTGTAATGTCTTTTTTTTCATTTCTGATTTTATGTATTTGTGTCTTTTCTCTTTTATTTTCTCAGACTAGCTAAGTTTACCAATTTTATCTTTCAAAAAAAAAAAACCCTCTTAGTTTCCTCAATCTTTTCTATTGTTATTCTTGTCTCTGGTTGATTTATTTCAGCTCTAATCTTTATTTCCTTTCTTCTGCAAAGTGTGGGCTTATTTTTTTTTTTTTCCCTAGTTCTTGAGGTGTAAAATCAGGTTATTTATTTGAGATTTTTTTTCTTAAAACATGCATTTATCACTATAAACTTCCCTTTTAGAACTGCTCTGCCCCATCCCATAGATTTGGGTGTGTTGTGTTTCCATTTTCATGTGTTTCAAGGTACTTTTGATTTCCCTTTTGAGTCCTCCTTTGACTTACCGATTGTTCAGAAGTGTGTTGTCGTTTAGTTTCCAAATATTTGTAAAATTTCCAGGTTTCCTCTTGTTGCTGATTTCTAGTTTCATACCATTGCGATCAGAAAAGACGCTCAGTATGATTTCAGTCTTAACTTCGCGGAGACTTGTTCTGTGGCCTAACATATATGTCACCCTTGTGTCTGCTGGGAGGCCGTGCATAAGTGAGAGCTTCCTCACTTGTCCTTAGGCGATAGCCCATCTCTCTTCGTGTCAATGCTGGGTCCCCACAGCAAACCTCAGCAACAACCCACCTTTGCTTAGGTATGGGGACAGAAAGCTTTCCCACCCAGCCCTCAGTGGTAGATGGCTGTTGCTTTTTATGTGGTGCAAGGGTCATGTCCAGAGAAGGTGCTTTCTTTTCTCTCTTCCAGGGAAGACGGATGTTTGTGCATCCCTGAACAGCAAGGATTAGAGATAGGTGGGAGGATTTACAGATTGCCACCCCCCAATAGCAGTTGGCTATTGCTTCAACCCCTCTCCAAATGCAACAGCAGGTCTTTGTGTGGGGCTGAACACTTTTGCACGTAGGAGAAAATATTCTGAGTGGTGGGCAGGTTGTATGGCCTGAGGGACACTGAGGAGTCACTCCAGTTTCTTGCTTTGCCCCCATCATTTTTATGAGTACTGACTGGGGAGATAAGGTGTTGAATAAAGTGTAGTTGGACAAGATGTGCTTTTAGTCCACCGCATGGCAGAGAAGCCTGAATGGCAAGCTACCTAAGGGCAGAAAGACCAGAGCGCACCGTCTTTGCAATAGGAGAGTTGAAGGAAACAAAGCCAGATACACCACTGCTCCCTGGGTCAAGCTAGAGGGAAAACACACAGGGAAATCTGCCCTGTCCAGGCATCTGCATTGGAGAAAATCATTTAGTCTGAGCAGTGGGAAAAAAACCACACACGCTCTGGGAATCAGGCAAAGGAACTGTTCTGATAACAGGAAGGAAAGCTGCTTTTTGCAAAGTGTCTCTAGTCCTCTCCACTGACAAAGCTTTACATCATGCCAGCTGGCGAAGAAAAATGTTTAAAGGGCCTGGATCCATTTTTATAGAACGGGCTGTAAAGAGAATTTGGAGCGGAGAGTCAATAAAATTGACAACTAGCACAGTGTATAAAAACAAAACCAATGATGGAGTAAAGAGTGGGTTAAAAAGGAAGCGGAGCAGTAATAAAATGCTACCCTCGGATGCTAAGAAATAAATCGGAACACTAGGGTTATCAGGCTACTTGTTTTTGTGTTTACAGGATATTTATTCTCATTAAGACCTTCACATTTACTTTCTCTTCTCCCTTTTTTTCTTATTAAGCGAGATGAATAAGAGGGAGATAAGTACGTGTCAACAAACTTGGGCCTTATTATGCAAGAACTTCCTTAAAAAATGGAGAATGAAAAGAGAGTCCTTAATGGTATGGTTCAATATCTATGTCACTTTGTATTTACGACAAAAAAAATTGTATACTCCTTGGAATGTAGCTTCGCTTTGTTTATCTCCCCTCCAAAGAAATAAAACACCTTTATACAACAGGAGAAGTTAGAAGAAGCTGTTCCTTGAACCACAAATATGTCTGAAGACATTGCAGTTAACATAGGCCTATCATTTCAGGCCGAAAAGCATGGAAGGTGGTCAGCAATAGAGAATTTGAGAAATGTTTGAAAAATCTATGGTCACACTTTTTACTGGTGCTCCCACGCATAGAGACTTGGGTTAAGGTACTGATATTCCGAAGATATAATAAACAAATCAACCCACAGAAATAGATAACTGGTATTTTCTCTTTTGATTCTCTTTCTCTTTTTTAAAAGTAAATCATTCTTTTCAAAAATAGCAGAAAATTTGGAAACGTGGTTGGTAGTAAGAAGAAAATTAGTATTAGCTCCTATAATCTTACCATGTAACAAAAGTCCTGGTTAAACTTTGGTATTTTTTAAAATCAGATAGATATAGCTAATAGCATTTTTAACAAACTGAAATTTTACCATATATCTATGATAATTTTTTTTCTACAGTCATGCATTTAGAAAACTTCTTATTGAAAGTTTTCAAGTGACTAGTATTGATAACTAGCCAGACAGTGTTTCTCAGGTAATCTGTATTCTGTCGAGTTTACAACACCAGAATCTTGGCATGTAACCAATATGTTACTACTAAGTGAGCAATGCCTTGAAATTATCTTGTAACATAGGCTTTTGGCAGAATCAAATACAGCCATACCTCAGAGGTCTTATGGGTTCAGTTCTAGACCTCTGTGATAAAGTGAGTATCGCAATAAAGCAAGCCATGATCTTTTTGCTGGTGGAGGGTCTTGCCTTTGATTCATAAATAAATGCACCATCTGTGAAGCACAATAAAACAAGGTATGCCTGTACAGCAAGAGTAGGTAACCACAGTAATACCAGCTGATAGTAATTTATAACAGCTTGCCACTGTCACCTCTTATATTTTTATGATCAGTGCATGCTTTAGATTGGTGCTGTGGATGAATAAATTTGAATTTTTATTAATAGCTCATTGGAATGCCACAGATTGCTGAATTTTGTACTGTACATATGTTAAATGGTTCATAATGTGGGATATATCAAAATTAGAAAAGTGAACGAGACAAATTGTATGGCCAAAGAATTGTGGATGACTAATTTGAAATCATTATTTCTTTTATTCTTTCTCTTGGATTATGTAGGAATGGTTGAGCTCACTACTCCTATTACTTTTTTTGTACCTATATCCTAATATTCATGAAGTTAATGATTTTTCTTCACTTCCTACCATGGACCTGGGACGGGTAGATTCGTTTAGCGAATCTACGTTTACGATTGCATACACGCCTTTCACCAATACAACCCAACAGATAATGGATAAAGTTGCCTCAACCTCCTTTATGAAAGGTGAGTTTCCTAGCATCCTAAGAGGAATTTCTAATGTTAATATTTGGTTTATTTGACCGCAGATGTGCACATTTAATTTGCATTTCAGTTGAGAAACCAAGTCAATTGTCAAAATTTCTAGATCATGGGAAATGTAAATATATTTTTCCTTTGTTGGAAGTAAGAGACCATCACTTAATATCTAAGTCAAAACTGTGAATGTATTTCTTGCCAAGCAAGGGATTACCACTTGGAAGGCACAATATCAAAATAAGATACTACTATATTTTTTATGAGTATTTAAGTTGCAAGTGAGAGAATCCCAATTCATCTTGTCTTAAGGAAAAGGGGCATCTTTTGTCTAGCTTAAAGAAAAAGAATCTCAGCACACAGATAGGTAGATAGAGGAATATCAGCCATAGAGGAAGAAACATGTCTCTGTTTCTCAGGTCTATAGTGACGTTGTGTTGACTCCATTCACAGATTGGCTCTCCCCAAACAGAAGCAAAGATGGTCTTCGAAATCTCCAGCTTTAAGCCCTCCTACATAAACAACTCCGGTGAAAGAGTACAGATCTTTCCCAACAGTTCAAAATAATTTCAGAGATTATACCCATTGGAACAATTGGTCTACCTTAGATTAGTCTTGGTCTGTATCCATCAAGAACTAATCTCATTGGATAGGGAGATAAAGTATTGTCATTGCCCATTGGTTGGGTTGCCAGGTCACCCAGTGAACCACATCCATACCACATGGTGTGTGAATGGAAGAAGGACAGTGTCTCCAATGAATTTTAGGGTTTCTATTAGAAGGAGGACTGGGTGGCAGGCAAATAAAAACAATAATTTTTTTTTACAAATATAACTAAAATACATGGTGACTGCCTAATAAATGTGAGCTGAGATATAATTTAAAAGCAGCTTAGAGCTTACTTAACTTTGTGAATATATTGAAAACCATGAAATCGCACAATTTGAAAGGATAAAAAAGACTATGAAAACATGACTTAAAAGGTACTAGATATTAATTTTAAACACCACGATTTCCTACCACGAGTATTATTGTAAGGGGAACCTGTGGCTCTGAATAATAATATTATTCTGCATTATATTTGTCTGTGCTCTGTATTAATATTCTGTACTACTAATAATTGATATTGTTATGTTTATTTTACAAATATGGAAATTAAGTAACAGAGGTTAAGTGACTTGCTCATGATAATACAGATTTAAAGAATAGAGTCCAGGGGTAAAAAAGAGGTAAAACTATCAAAATACATGCCACCTGCTCCCTCCACTTTATCTTCAACATTCCCACCCCAATCTAGAACTTTCCTTATATTCTTTCCCATGTTTTCAACTGTTACAAACATTTGTTTAGCACTGAACACAGTATTAGAAAAAAAAAGGGAGGGGATGATTTTATCAACATAGTCACTTAATATATTTTTTAACTTTCACTCTTTTTTTCCCCCAACATATTAGCTATATTGTGAGGGTCATTAAAGGAAAATGAAGTTCTATAGTTATTTCCACCTAATGTAAACCAGTACCTAATTGTGATTTAAATATATATATTACTACCATTTTAGATTTATTGTAATGCTAATTCTTCTGTGAATAGTTTAATTTGTATGCTATGATATTATATGTAATTGGAATTGGTTTAATAATTATAACATTTGAAAATAACTAATTTAAAAAAAGAAAAGAATTAATTTTAATGTATGCCTTCTGATTGTACACTATCTAGATAAAACTTTAGAAATGTCTCTCCCCAACCTTTACTGTGTCTGATGTACTCCAAATTAACATTCGATTTCATTTTATTTCCATAAAGAATGCTAGTAAAAGCAACTGAACATGAAACCTAAAGTTTGGCTCATAGTAATTTACTAACAATAATAGTCTCTTCTTGTGATGGCAGACAGAGAAGTCTTGGGACTGTCTGATGAAGAAAGTATTAAAAAATTAACAGCAAATTATCCTGGAGAAATAGTAAGAGTCATCTTTACTAATACATTCTCATATCATTTGAAATTCTCACTGGGACGCAGAATTCCAACAATGAAGGAACACGGAGACCATACAGGTAGCTTTCCAGCTATATAATTCCACTACTTTCTATATCAATGTTGTCATGAGCCATATATGGGAATAAATGTTAGTACAGCGAATTTTCAAATCCCTATCTGTGATGGTAATGTCAAGAGGCCAGTCAATACATTTTAAAAGTGTGCATTGATTTTGGATATATTAACATACACACATATACACATATATACTTATATTTAAATGTATACATATGTGTATATACATATGCATTTGTACATACACAAAGGAGAGGATATGATGCAAGGGTAAGAGTCAGCAGAAGTTATTTTTAGAATTCTGTCTACTGCAGATGTGAATTTGCCCAGATTTCTTTAGGAACCTATTTTACTTCTAATCAAAATCATAATAGATCTTTTCATATAAATTGACACATTCACTTTAAAATATGCCTTTAAAAGAGACACAGAATAGCCAAGAAGTTCTTTAAAAAGAATGAAGTTGTAAGTAATTAAGACAGTATGCTGTTGCTGTGGTGACAGACCGATCAATGAAGCGTAAGAGAGAACCTTGGGAAACTTACACAAACATGAAAACTAACATATGACAGAGAAGACATCCAGATCAGCGCTGGGAAAATTAAATTATCTCACATGAAACAACCAATCCAGGTAAAGAATTAAATAAGAACAACAAGCCTATAAACCTTTTAGAAGTCAATATAGGAGAATATCTTTATAACTGTAGGATAGAAGAAAATTTAGTGAACAAAACATAAAATACGTAAACTGTAAAAGAAAAGATTGGTAAATTTAAGAAGATCAAAATTAAGGAATTTTCTTTATCAAAAAGCACCATAGAGATAGTGAAAAATAAAGGTAAAATTTTGATGATATATTAATAACAAATAAAACTAACAAAAAGCTAATCTCCAGATTACATGAAGATTTACTTCGAATACATAAGACAAGGGTATAGAAATAAGAGAGTCATAAAGAGAAATCAATAGGAATTTCATAAAAGGAGGAACACAAATCAAGAATAAACACATGGAGAGATGCTTACCTGCATTAGCAATCAGGGAAATGCATGTTGAAATAACTCGTGATATCACATTTACCAGACAGTGAATAGAACGGTCCAAAACACTGATGAGCAGAGAGAAGTCAACACAATGAACTGTTTTAAATTCCACAAAACTTGAGAAATTTTATTTTTAAATTGAAGATGTATGTAACCTATAACCCAGCATCATGGGAATCTTATTGAAAGTCTCATGCCTGTGTTAAACATTTGCAGCCTGTTTTGTTCTCCTTCCTGAGGGTGTAGAGTAATTAAGTGGTAGCTATAATCAGATACCCAGACCCAAGACTATGGAAAGCAGACGTGAGTTCTCTACAACTTTTTCTTACCTACTTCTGCAAACTAGGTAGTCATGCCCAACAGGTAGTGCAGCTACCAGGTGGAGGAAATGCCATCATCTTGGGACCCTTAGTTTAACGTGGAATAGAGGATACTCCACCCCTACTTCCAAAGGCCTATGTGGAATTTATAGCCTGACTGAGAAATGGACTTTTTCTGCCATCTCAAGCCATTGAGATTTGGGGCTCGTGTGTTACTGCAGCACGTAGTAGACTATCCTAACTTAATACACATATTCACAAGAAAACATAGGTAAAGATTTTCATAACAGCAGCTTTTTTATTGTTGTAATAGTAAAAAGAAAAAGAAAACTAACCAAAATTGCCATCAGCAGGAGAATAGATAAATATATTGAATCACAATCCTGTAAAGGGATTCTATAGAATCATAAGAAGAAGAAAAAAAGAGTCATTTATAGAATTTTTAGAATCATAATATAGAACAAAAGAAGCAAAGTGCAGAATTATGAATGTAATGAGTTATCATATTTAAACAAAGCTTAACATTTTTAAAAATTATATATGTAGTAAAAGTTTAAAGTCACGTATATAACCTTAGACTAGGGGAAACGTAAGATCCACAAACGATATACAGGGGATTTCAGCTGTGTTTGTAATGGTGTATTTATTTTTATAATTTGATCATAGGCATAGATGTGTTTATTACTTCATTTTATATCTAAAGCATTTCAAAATGATGTTTAAAATATTTAAAATTTTAATGGAACATGCATTTAATTCCTATACTCAATTTTAACTTGTTATATTAAATAATATCTCTCTAGTGCAGTTTAATACTCAATAGATTGGTAGATCTTTTTTTTATAAGTATATTTTTTTCTTCAAGAGATGTTCTGATTGATGTGACTTGAACATAATAAATTATCTCATCAACTTACATTCGCTCGTTAAGTCTGCGTTATGTACACTGTTAGACAAAGCTTCAGCGTACTGTTTCTCACCCCATATTAGACACTGCTAAATTTGAAAACTGCAAAAAGATACTGTTTTCACAATACAAAATCAGAGAAAAGCTCAACAAAATTCTTAATGGGCAAAGAAGCACAGACAATAATGTGAGAAAGCGTAGAATGTGTATTATAATTTTATGCAGTACATTCCCAAGAGTGCTCAACCCACCCTACTTTGAAAATTATTACTATAATTTATGTTTTCACAAGCTCTGAGTCAAAAAGAGAACAGTTGGAATTTGGGGCCATTATAACATCCACTGTTACCTATAATCAGGACCGAAATACTCCATAATGATAGTTATGGTGTTTTTTTTCCCCCCCTTAAAGCTCACTGTTATAAAATAAACAACAGTGATGTTGACTGCGGTGTTACAGAATTCTGGAAGAAAGGTTTTGTGGCTCTTCAAGCTGCCATCAATGCTGCTATTATAGAAGTGAGTACAAAATGTCCAGTGCGAACTAACGGACAACGCAGATTAATGATGAAGGAGGCATTGAAAGTTTTGTCAACGAAAATATAAATAGATCGCGTTGTTCTTTCATTTACTCACTGGTCTCTTTACAACAAATTTTACTTCAGTTTCAATGTGCCATGGGGGATGTAGACATAAATAGAGGAGAAATTTTCTCCTCCAAGGAGAAAGCCTGGTCAGGAAGCCAGACAGATAATAAGAAAATTATGAGAAGAGAAGTCACTGGAGATCACAGAGGTATTTAATAAAGTCGTTATTGGTAAATGAACAAAAGCTTATCAGCTTAGAATGCCATGGAAGGATTCCTAATTGAAATGATGTTTAAAACCGAAGCTCGAGGAAAGGGTTTTGCTGAATATATGAGGTTATGAAGACATTTCAAGTGAATCATCAGGCGATGTTAGGCACGGAGGTGATAAAACACACTGAAAATTTTCAGAACTGTGCATAGCTCAGAATGCCTGGAGTGGAGTCTCCTCGTGGGCCCGTGGCAGAACACAGAAGTGAAAAGTTAGGTTAGGCCCATTGTGTGTTGATGGAAAAAGAGATGACTGAAAGGAAACAGAGTCTGCCATCATTAAGATAAAATTTATGTATTAATATGTTTCTTCAGATCACAACAAATCACTCAGTGATGGAGGAATTAATGTCAGTTACTGGGAAAAATATGAAGATTCATCCCTTCATTAGTCAAGAAGGGTTAATTACTGATTTCTTCGTGTTCTTCTGCATTATTTCCTTTTCCCCATTCATTTACTATGCATCGATTAATGTTACAAGAGAGAGGAAAAGGATGAAGGGCTTGATGACAATGATGGGCCTTCAAAATTCAGCGTTCTGGTGAGTGAAGTGTAGGATAACTAAATGCAAGAATTCAGGAAAAGTGGGCTTCTTCAAAACGTCATGATTCAAAGCTAATGATTTTCTAACTTTTCCCTATGAATAGACTAAATCGAGGTTGGTGTAATGCTTGCCAGGCTAAGGCTGAGCGTTATTATACTTCTCTATCTGAAGAACAGTTATCAGGTTTGGGTCTGCTGGGTGATTGCAAAGCAGGAGTAATGAGGGATGGACACTGAGTCTACTGGTGACTATCCTATCTTAACAGAAAATAAATAACGTTGTAGGTCAAGAATGTAGACTATTTGGTGTACACATCCCAAGAAAGACAAAACAGCTTTTGGGAAAAAAAAGAAGTGAGAATTACACACAAGGAAGAATTTTTTATATCCAAGGAAATTTGTGAATCTCCTCACTCCCAGAGGGGAGAAAGGGTCTGAGCGTCACTGAGGGGTCACCACGTACTGAGACAAGGTCCTACAAAGACATGGCTGGCCTCTGAATCTTCACTGTGGTATTTATTCCAAATGTCCAAGGCAATGAAAGGACTTAAAGGGGTTACAGAGTATGTCAGAGGTCCCAGAGTAGGAATAGAGCAGAGAAAATGTGGAACCAAAATCTATCAGACTGGAAGCCTATTTTTCCTTTTTTCATAATAACACACATGTGTGTGTATGTCTGTGTGTCTGTGTGTATATATTTCGGGAATTAATTTTAGGAAAAAGAATATTCTTCATTTCTTAGGAATTATTTCCAGAACATTTACCTAGTACTTATATATCCTAAACACTTAATAAATATCTCCTGAATAAATGAATGAATAAATGAATGAAAGAAGAATGATGTTAGAATCCACTGTAGGTTCGTTCCAATTGAACGCAAAATACTAAAATAACATTTTTTTTCCATATTAGGCTCTCTTGGGGTTTGCTCTATGCTGGTTTCATCTTCATTACAGCCTTTTTCTTGGCACTTACTATAAAATCTGTCCAGTTTGTCATTCTGACTGGCTTCACGGTGGTCTTCATCCTCTTTCTCCTCTACGGATTGTCTTTGGTGAGTTGGGGAATTAAATATTTTTCCGTCTAACTCTTACCCTAAGATTCAAGTGTTGGTTTCCAAACAGGTTATTGTGTGACATATCCCTCTTCTCTGCTCCATCTGCACGAGTCTGTAGAATGGTACCATTTGATCTGCCGTGCCTTGTAATACCAATTTGTAGTACAATTCGCAGAATGTCGTTTTGTATTTTATACACAAAATAATAATGTAATTAATTTTGTATATCAGATTTCTTATTTTATTATGCAAATAGTAATTCTAGAGAAACATAAACCAGCTGGACCTTCTCTCACCGTAGATAGCTTTGGCTTTTCTAATGAGCGTCTTGATAAAGAACTCTTTCCTCACTGGACTGGTCGTGTTCCTTCTCACCGTCTTTTGGGGGAGTCTGGGCTTCATGGCATTGTACAGGCAGCTTCCTGCATCCTTGGAGTGGACTTTAAGTTTCCTTAGCCCCTTCGCCTTCATGCTCGGAATGGCCCAGGTGAGAAGCAATCTAATGTTTATTAATGACATTTCTTAAACATTTTTTCACTCTGGAATTTAACTGTCTGTAGTCATTTCTATACTCAGCATTGTAAACCTTACATTTCTATGCTCAGCATTGTAAACCTTACAATGCTGAGCATAGAAATGACTACAGACAGTTAAACCCCAGTGAAGACTATTGTGAGGTTGCAGAGATGAACCTTTAAAAGCTTTGGACGTATTTAGCTCAGCAAAATAAGCCATATGGTGAGTGAAAAAAAATGGAAAGTCGATATATAATTCTTTAGGGACAAAGTGTTTTCTTTGGCTACTAATTAAAAATGGACTTGACGTTACAAACCTAATTCTAAATAACTATTCCAGTTCATATTTTGGCTTAGTAATTGAACAGCACACATAATTATAAAAACCATAAAGTAAAAGAAAAAAATTAAAAACACCTTGGAAACAGCACGGTTGATTAGTAAATTACATTTCCGTTCATGAAATGTCATTTCTCTTTATGTGATTTTCACCTTGAACTGACTTTGCCATCCCTCCAATTAAGTGGTAATGCCGATCACTACATATCCATTATTTAGTGCTCATTAACTTGAACATCACAGACCAGCCTACTTTTGCCGCTGGTTCTCCTTACACACACTAGTGATTTTTCCAAGAGCATAAATTCTCTCTGACGCAGCCATTTTCAAGGAACACCACGCCTTTTTCCTGTGTTCTGTTTGGTAAAAATGTATCTAAGACTGAGGTCAAATGTCATTTTTTCACATGCTTCCCTACCTCCTCCTATTGCTCTGATTTCATTTGGAACATATTTTTAATCATAGCAATTACTAAATTGCATTATAGTTGGTCATATGCTCATGCATTGCAACGTAGTCAGTCTCACTAAACTTTACATTCCTGGTATGAGGCAAAAGGTAGCTAGCTATTTTATTTTTATGCTAAATCTGTTTAAAATTTATCATAAACCTAACTTCCTTTAATTAATTACTTTTTTAATTTTCAGCTTTTACATGTGGACTATGATTTGAATTCTAATGCGTTTCCCAATTCGTCAAACAACTCAAGAGAAATAATAGCAACGAATTTGATGTTGGCTTTTGATATTTTCCTCTATCTGGCATTGACGATTTATTTTGAAAAAATTTTGCCGAGTGAGTAGCGACTTGATTAAAATCAAACATCATTTTAATAATTTTATTTCCTAAAACTAATCTCCTAACACATGTGTTGTTTATATGTTAAGAACTACTTTGTGCATCAACAGGAAGGAAATGAACAGGGTCGTTGTCTCTGACCAAATCTGTTCTTTATTTCGTGCTATTTGGTCAGAACTAAAGCCTGAATTTTCTTTACAGAATCCCTAGCCTTTGGTTGAACGTCACTCTAAATGTCTGGCTTGTTTCTTTTCTAAGAGATGCTTAGCAAGCTAGTTCCTAAGTGGGTCAGTCTTGGTACTTACCAGGCATGGAAAGTTATAGCTGCTTTGCCTAATTATTCAGCTCAGTAGTTCTGAGCCCTGGCTGTACATCAGAACCACCTGGACAGCTTTAAAGAAATATCAAGCCCAGCTCAACTCCAAGAAATTCTGATTCATTTAATCAGTGATGGGACCAGGGCATCTATGTTTTTAAAAATCTCCCTGTAGTTTCAAAACAGGAAAATCAATAAGCCATCAATTTTGATTTTTATTACCTTGCAACTTAAAAGAATATGAGTTCCACAAAAACAAGGATCTGTTTTGTTCACAGATGTACCCCAAGCAACCAGTTTGGTGTCTGGTGCATGCTATAGACTCAGTAAATACTTAAGACCGAAATACTGGTTCATTTATTTCTTTCTCCTTTTATAATCAAAGGCAGAGCCTGTGTCTTTCACTTCTGTATTTCCTATTCAAAACAGAGTGCCATGGGCCTTTATTATACTATATAATCCAGCAATCCCACTGCTAGATGTATAGCCAAAGGTAATAAAGTCACAATCTCAAAGAGATATCTGTACTCCCATGTTTATTGCAGCATTGTCCACAATGGAATATTACTTGGCTTTAAAAAAAGAAATTCTGCCATTTGCAACAACACAGATGAACATAGAGGATGTTATGCTAAGTGAAACAAGCCAGACACAAAAAGACAAATGTGACATGATCTCACTTACATGTGTAATCTAAAAAAGTCAAACTCACAGTAGCAGAGAATAGAATGATGATTACCAGGGCCTGCAGAGGGTGGGGTGGGGTGGGGGGAATGGGAGGTGTTGGTCAAGGGTTACAAGCTTTCATTTATAAGATGAATAAGTTCTGGGGATCTCACGTACAGCGGGAGCGACTATACTTGATAATGATGTATTGTATGCTTAAAATTTGCTAAGATAGTAGATCTCAAGTGTTCTCACCACACACACACACACACACACACACACCACACACACACACACACACAGAGAAATGGAAATTATGTGAAATGATGGATATGTTTTAAATAGCTTGATGCTGGTAATTATTTCACAAACCATCACGTCGTACACCTTAAATAGACACAATTTTTTATTTGTCAATCATACTTCAATAAAGCTGGAAAAATTAGGAAAATTACTAATGAAATAAACACACTGAGTAGATCAAAGCAAAGTCATCAGTGAGTAAACACTTGTAGCAAGGGGAGAAGGGGGAGTAAGAGCGAAAATGCACAGTGAGATCTCGACGCAGTGACTGAATCACGTTGATTTTCTTAGTGCCCTGAGAACAACTACTATCCCGCCTGTTAGAAGAGTCCAGAACAAGAGATGTCGGGATCTACTGTTTTTGGCCTATACACGTATTATGCAGTTAGGATTATTTGTATCATCCATTCATTACGGCTGCACTTAAGCTTGGATTTCGAAAGGGATGATGTTGTTCGAAATTCTGTTAAGGATAAGAAATATGAATGACAGAGAGGGAAATTAACTAGATAAAATGACATGACAGAATCATGTACTAGTAAATCTTGTGGCAGAATGTATCCGATTATAGCTACATGCTTTTTTATTTGCTCGGCGTCCTAACCAAGGGGAAGAGATGGGTCTAATAATATACCATTCGCCAGGTATATAGAAAGTGCTCAGTAAATATTTATTGCACGAATGAACAACTGAACATGCGAAAGGTACATGTAAGTTTGAAAACCCATTAATCCTTTAAAAAACTGTATTAAAGTATAGCTGGTATACAATATATTCGTTCAGTTGTACAACATAAGGATTTGATATTTAAAGACCCTGCAATGTGATCGCCCCTTAAGTATAGTAACCATCTGTCGCCATGCAGTTAGTATATTATTGGATAGATTCCGTGTGTTGTGTGCTACATCCGTAGTTTATTTATTTCATAGCTGGAAGTTTGTACCTCTCATGCCCCTTATTTTCACCCATCCCCGCGCTCCCCTTCCTTTTGGCAACTATCAGTTTGCTCTCTGTATCTATGAGTCTGTTTCTCTCTCGTTTCATTGGTTCGTTTGTTTTGTTTCTTCAATCTTACAGCGGAGGCCAGCTGCAGAATGTTAGAGAAATATAATGCTCCCATTTCATAATGTCTCCTCACACGTAGGAAAACAGAAGTAACAATTAAGTGCAAATACGTTGTAGAGATTAGTTTCCAGAAAGAGGTCCATAGATAATATGTACTTAAAACAGATCATGAATTTGCTTCAGAGGAAAGTTATTATTAGGGAATGAGATAAAGCATAAATACAAAATAGCTTTTTAAAAAAAATTTCCACTGTGTTAAGTTTGAATAAATTCTTTTGCCTTATTCTGTCCCTTTCTTACAGTATGCCACTTATTTTTGTCGAACTCTATTCTATCTTCTCTTGGAATACTTGCTTAATATATCTTATAATCACTTCTCAATTTCTTTTTCTTTTGCCAGTGAAATGACACCTGGACTTCTAGATAGAATTCAGCACACTCAGAGTATGTCATGCTGTTATTGCAATATCTGGCTTTCCAGAGGTTAAAAAAGAGTCTTAACATGTATTTAAGATAATTCTGAATTTTTGAAAAATCACAGCTTCATTTCTGCCTATGGGAAAAATTATTATAATAGAAACACCTTAGGATATATTTCTTTTCCCTCATGAAGCCACGCGTATCATCACATGTGCGTTGTGTGTGTGTCAACCACACATTCAGGTTTATCGACAAAAATTTTGCATGGCTAGGCTGCATTAAGGTGACCGTCCCCCTTAAATGGCGATTGACCCAGTGTTTGTCTCTTGGCCATGTAGATGAATACGGACATCGCAATTCACCCTTGTTTTTCCTGAAGACCTCATTTTGGTCACGACAACGTAAGCCTGATGAGGTGGCCTTTGAAGATGAAATGGATGTCAATCCTTCATCTAATGACTCCTTTGAACCAGTATCTCCAGAATTCCACGGGAAAGAAGCCATCAGGTAGCAAGGATGCCAACGGAGAACAGGCCAAAGGCTGAGAAGCTACTAGTTACACCTGACACAAGCAATGTTCTCTTTTGTGCCCTATGCATCGCTCCCACTAACCTCGCCCATGCTACGTTCATCCCTTTCCACTTCAAGTTTAAAGAAAAGATCCTTTACCCCTTGCTGTCTTATAGTGTCGACATTTACATGAAATACAAACCTAGATTGTACCCACAAAGATAATTCAACCAAACCCTCCCCTAGATTCTCAATCTTTTATCTGTTGTTTCTCTTCTCCATCCTTAGCCTCAGCCTCACTCATTCTTTGTCTGGACTCATTTCTTTACACTTTGCCCCTACTTCATTTATTATACTCCCTATGTTTTTCTCTCAATTTTAAAAACTTCTCTTTTCTATTTATTGCCTTTTCAAAGAGGTTGAAAGTCGGGGTGAGGAGAAAAGACCTAGAAACAGACACATAGGGAGTTGAGGAAGAAGTGCCTTTTAGAGTCATGCATATCTTCACTCTGTCTGACAACAAAACACGTACTTTGTTTGGTGCTGGTAACTTTTATTTCCAAATTTAAAAAATATATACCGGAAGAAAGTCCTCAAATTTCCTGACTGTTCAAATATTACTCAATGACCAGCACGTCAGTCCTCTGTGATCCAGCTTATGAATTATATATTTACCTGAGAGAATAAAATGATGTGTCTAGGATTCTAGCTCTATAACAGCACCCAGCATATGTTGGTTCCATTCCTTTTCATTACCATAATCTAACTAATATTATTTTATGCTTACTGACTATTTACCATGAACCAAGCACTATGCATGCAAGATGAAATAGTTTACTCACCCTTCAACACAACCCTAAAGCACTCCAAAATTTCAGGTTACAAGAGCTGAAATTTACCTAGAATAAGTACATTGGTTAAGGTAACAGAGCTACTAAATATCATAGGTGGAATGAGCTCACTTAGGTAGGGCCGTAAAACCCAGGTTCTCACACTACGATCTTTGCCTCTCTCTCTTAATCTACCCTTGCACTTATTGATCAACCTCTAGAGAACTTAACTCAAGGTGACCAAAGATATCTCCAGCCTGAGCCAGCAGTTCACAATGAGCCTTTCATTATTGAATACCTGCGTTACCTCTTGGTCTGGCTTCCTTGGCTTTGCAATTTAGAGATGACCCTTGTTCTCCATACTAATGTCAGACCATACCTCAGTCTTTGGAATCAGAAGATCTGGTGATGGGTTCCAAGCACAGGTAAAAATTTAAAATTACAGGTGGGGCTCATGTGCAGCATAGGCTGGGAATAAGTATTCTATCAGGGGTCCCCAACCCCCAGACTGTGGACCGGTACTGATCAATGGCCTGTTAGGAACTGGGCCACATAGCAGAAGGTGAGCAGCCAGCGAGCAAACGAAGCTTCATCTGTGTCGGCAGCCGCTCCCCGGTGCTGGCTTCACCGCCTCAGCTCCACCTCAGATCATCAGGCATTAGGTTCTCATAAGAGAACCGGTCCCTGGTACCAAAAAGGTTGGGAACCGCTGTTCTGGCTGATTCTCTCACACATGCATAACTGCATGAAAATGAAATCTCAGATCTCCCTATATCCCGAAGAGAAGATTCACCCAATCCTGTCGACCAAACCTAGAATCGCACGCTGAAGAAAATCGTCATATCTTGAAGTCTCTTTTTCTTTTCTTTTTTCAGAATCAGAAATGTTACAAAAGAATATAAAGGAAAGCCTGATAAAATAGAAGCTTTGAAAGGTAAAAAAAAAAAAAAGAACATTTAGTTATAATGATATTGATTTCCTGATTTTAATTTTTTTTTTTTGCTCCTGGTAAGCAGTTACTAGTGGTATTTTAGATTTGAAATAGTTATTTGAGCCACATGGTAAAATTTCCCTTCCAAAGCATTACTTCTACTGTATGAAAGTTAGAAAAAATTAAGTACGTTTTAGATTCATATATATATGTGAAAGATACACTGTGTAATATTGAGATAACCTAAATATTGTTTTGTTTTTTTTTTAATATATATATTGGAAAGATATACTGTGTAATGCTGAGGTGGCCTAAGGATATTCTGGGTTTTTTTTTTTTTCTTATGTGATTCCAAGGCTGTTGTAGATATTGTATATTTTTCTTTTGTGTGAAAAAGTCATATACTTCAAAAGATTTTCTACAATTTACTGAACTAATTAATCTATCCTTCCAGTCAAAAAATATGAACATCCACCTTCCATGCATCAGGCAATGTCAATGAATCTAGGAGTATAAGATTTGTTTCCTGCCTTTAAACCAAGTAATTTTCAAAATTTCAAAACGAGATCAACATATAAATTTATAAAAGGATATTTTATTTTTTTATTTTTTATTTTACAAGCCAGGATATTCACATTTAGAAAACATGGCCATTCAAGGAAATAAGAAGACAGATCACTAGCTCCATAATAAATTTGTAGTTTTAATTGTTTTCTTTTCTAACTCCCCACCCATTTCCTTCCCTCCTTTCTCCCATCCTTCTTTATTTTCCGTTTTTCTTCCTAGATCTAGTATTTGACATATATGAAGGCCAAATCACTGCAGTACTTGGTCACAGTGGAGCTGGAAAATCAACACTCTTAAACATTCTTAGTGGGTTGTCTGTTCCCACTAAAGGTAAGAGCTTTTTTCCAAGATCAAGTTGACAAATAAATAAGCTGTTAATTTAAAGTCCTTCTGATCATTAATCACAGAGATTTCTAGGGTAAAATGGAAGTTAATTTATAGTATTATGCTATGGAGATACACTACATTTAATTGGTATATATGGGATTTGAGTATTTCACGACAATTTTTTAATAGTCATTAGTTACCATTTGGCATTTTAACTGTATCTGTCAGCTTTTGCCACATGACAAGCATCCCCAAAGCTAATGGTTTAAAATAAAAATGTTTTATTATTTCTCATGATTCTGTGGCTTGATTGGCAGTTTTTCTGTCTGGACTAAAGTGGCTGGGGCTAAAGTAGCGTAGCCTCACTCACATATTTGGTTAGGATCATGGCACCTCTTTTCCTACGTGGACTTTCATCTTCCAGGAGGCTAATCTGAGATTCTTCACCCACTGGTATCTATGATCCCAGAAACAAAGAGATGGCAAATCCCAGTGTGGAGGCACTTCACAGTCTCTGCTTATATCATATTTGCTAAGATTCCATCTGTTATATAGCCGAGCCTCAATGTGAGGATAGACAAATAGACTACATTTAAATGGAAAAAGCTGCAGAAGGGACTTTGCCCCCGCCCCATAGACCACACAACTAAAATGGAAGTTCTTAATACTTGAATTGTATAACCTTAAAGATACAATCACATACCTAAAATTTTTCATTTAGAAAAATCTTAACTTGAGCATTATCCTGATATTAACTTTTCATCCTTGCTTACAGGTTCAGTCACCATGTACGATAATAAACTTTCAGAAATGGCTGACCTAGAAAACATCAGCAAGCTCACTGGATTTTGCCCACAATCCAATGTACAATTTGACTTCCTCACAGTGAGAGAAAATCTCAGGCTGTTCGCTAAAATAAAAGGGATTCTGCCACATGAAATGGATAAAGAGGTACATAAATATGTTAGAACTAATGTATTCGTCAAAACGAGATTATTAACTCTAGTTGAACTGAGTCTTTTTGCTTTCATTAAATTATCTCTGTGCTAATCAATGTATAAAAGCTGAACACAAAAATTGAATTTAGCTAATATCTAACATTTGCATATAATTTACAATGTGCCAAGCATTACCCTTAACTTTAAATATAATATTTCATTTATTCCTCATAGCAACCCTATAAGTTAGGTACTATTACTATTTTCATTTTACATGTGTGGAAACTGAAGTTCTAAAGAACGAGTCACTTGACCAAGATTATACAGCTAGTTAATGTGGGTTTATTCAAATCTTGTCAGTTCGGTTCCGTGCTTTTAACCATTACACTTTATAGCTTTGTATTTATGAATTTAAAAATTAGGAAAAAAGAAAGAAATCTAAGTTTGTGATATAAATGTTATCATTTGGTTAGATACAAAGAGTTTTGCTGGAATTGGAAATGATTAATATTCAGGACATCCTTGCTCAAAATTTAAGTGGTGGACAGAAGAGAAAGCTCACCTTTGCGATTGCCATTTTAGGAGATCCTCAGGTAAGTCAGACTAAATTTAGGGATGCATTGAAATTTTTAAAAATAAAACTTTTGGTAGTAGTTTAAACCTATTATTTGCAAAGGACACCTGTGATAAAATATTTATGATGGGACATTAAATATAAGAACAAAATCCCTAACCACAATGCTCTTTTAAATATAAATAATATGGTTTTAACATGTGTTCTGGAAGAACTATACCTTAGTGGAAAACCCATTTATCTACATCCTTCCTCTGTAGATTTTCCTACTGGATGAACCAACTGCTGGATTGGATCCTTTTTCAAGGCACCAAGTGTGGAACTTCCTGAAGGAGAGGAAAACAGACCATGTGATCCTGTTCAGTACCCAGTTCATGGATGAGGCTGACCTCCTGGCTGGTGATTGCTAGCTTCCTTTAAGTATCATGATAAAGACTTTATGAGAAATATGGATTACATTCTGAGCATTTTTATTGTGTAATCTGATCATCCAGCTGCATCTAGCAATCTGAACAGCTGGTGATGATATGAACTGGGCCCAAAGAGTCTTGCTCTCAACCATTTCCATATTTCTCCTAGAATTTTGTATCATTTGATTACACAGGGGCATGATCTGCCAGGAAAACTCACTTATTTTGAAGTAAAAGTCTATATTCTAAGGCACTGATCTTTTTATTCAAAACTGAGGTAAATCAACTTGAAATATCCAAACAATTTTGATGTTTGGTCCATTAAAATGCATAATGTGAGGGTTCTCTATATTAGAAGATATAGTCACATAAAATCTCCCTGACTGGTTGAATGGTATAACAATCACCTCAAGTATATAAATAAGATTAAAATGTGTCTATTGCGATGAGTCTTTATTAAACTCTATTTGAAAATGTAGAAACTCCTGAATTAGAGTTAGATCATATATACAATTACCTGTCTTTTCTTGGGAAAGAATGGGCAACTTCTTCTTTGCTTCTTCCCTTTCAGACAGGAAAGTGTTTCTCTCCAAGGGGAAGCTGAAGTGTGCAGGCTCTTCTCTGTTTCTGAAGAAGAAATGGGGGATCGGATATCACTTAAGGTACAGCCACCTGAGGAGTTTGGAAGAACAAGTCATGGGCTAGAGTCAAGCATGAAGCAACACATTACAACACACAAGAAAACCCTGTATTATTCTACGCAGATGTTTGTATATACATAGTTAGAGAATGAGAATATAAGGTGCCTTAACGAAAAAGTTTAGATAAATGTGATAGAAAATAAACGCATGACACGTTGTGTTAAGGAAGGTATGTATTAAGGGAAATTTCTCAACTGACATATCATATTTACACCCTCATGATCTCTCACCCACTGTTAACATAATTTTTTGAGTTGGTTCCTTGCTTCTCCTCTTCCTAAATCCTTCTCTTCTTTCTTGTTCTTTCTCTCTTTTCTGTCTCCTTCATTTTATTTTTATCATTATTTTGAATAGTAGCATGTTCTAGGTGTTATTTATTGAGTGATTCAGAGACAAGGCACTTAACATTATTTTATTTAAATCTTTTCTTTTTCAAGGTAGGAACGGTTGTTACTTTTACTCTACAGATGAAATTATAGGCTCCCTAGATTAAAATAAAAGTGGCAGAGCCAGGAATTGAGTCTGGACATTTTTAACTTCAAAGTCTAGTATCCAAATCCATATTTTAAATTACTCTCTAATTTATACATGAATCGATCAGTTTACCTAAAGCACAGCTCTGATTTATACCATCTACACTTTAGAAAGAAAGAGAAAACATATGACAACAAGAAAAAACAAACAAATAAAAAACCCAATAGTTCCTTTTTACCTACCAGAGTCCAAACTACATAGCGAAATAATGTTGGTGTGGACTGCCTATCATGATTCCCATGTCATTTGCCCTAACTGAATTTAACACCCTCTAGTTAAAATGAAATATTCATTGTTCCTTGTTCCTTGCACATACCCTGCCTGTCATGGCTTACATTTTCTGAGACTGGCAGTTTTCTTGACCCTATTTTGACCTGTTCAAGTCCTAAGGAATTATTTGAATGCTACTTCATGTAGACTTATCAATCTTACATTTCCTTGTATTGTCCCAATATTCTGATTTCTTGAGGCGCTTTGTTTTAACCTCTTATAGGAGGTTAAAGTACCTCTATGAAACTGAGTTTTCTCACTTATAAGGTGGGAGTAATCATTCTTAATTGCAAGTAAAGGTTATAGAAAAAATAAATGAGAGGGTGACCAGCACATTGCCTGGCAACATAACATGTTCTCGAAATAAAAAATGTTAGTCAGGATCTCTGAGCAATTCTTGAGTCTCCTGGACAATAAATTGTGTAATTGCCTTATTTCTCCTTCTAGATCAGAGTCAGTAAACTATGGCTTATTACCCAAATCCAGCTCACTTACTGATTGTGTAAATAAAGTTTGATTGGAGCAGAGTCACTCCCATTTGTTTAGGTATTAGCCATATTACAAGGGCAGGCAGCGTTGAGTAGTTGTTGCAACAGAAATTGACTGGCCCACAAAGCCTAAAATACTTACTATCTAGTCATTTACAGAAAAAGTTTGCTGAGCCCCGTCTTCCAAGCTCTAAGCTTGTACTGCTCACATAGTCATCTCTAGTGCCCAGCACAAATTCTTATAAGTGGCCAAGAAATATTTCTTGAATTGTTTTTATTTTGGAGAACAATGGGGAACGATGATGATTTTTTTGCTTCATTCCCTCAATTGATTTCATTGCTTCTAAAAATGGCATATATTCTTGTATGTTCATAATATCTTATGAGTAAATAGAATTTTGACTCAAGCATTTGATCAAATGAAATGGCTACCACTTTTTAAGGGCTTGCTAAGTACAAACATCATTAGTACTCACTTAGAATAACCCTAGATGTTATCGACCATTATTTCATTTTATGAATGAGGAAATTGTTCAGATAGTTTAAATAACACATTTCAAATGGCAAAATCAAGTTTCAAAGTCAAGTTATTGCCAGTATTTTATCTACCGTACTTTATAGCTTTGATTAATAGATTTTTGTTTTTCTACATTGGTGTTTTTAAATGAGTAGACTTATTTTCTCAATGATACTTGGTTCTTAGCCAAAGTTCTGGTGTTAGCACTGCAAAGAAAGCAAAAATTAGTGATCCCACCAACCCAAACACACATTTATCACAATTCGTTTCTATCTATAACCTCATGTCCTTCAGAGCACTTACTACTATTGGTGATCATTTTACGTGTCTGTTTGTTTACTTGTTTTCTTTCTGTCTCTCCCATTAGACATTAAGCTCCATAAGAACAAGACAATGCTGTTTTATTTCATTGTCCCCTCAGCACTGAGGATAATTTTTCACATACTAAGAACTTAACGAATTCGCATTGCATGACTAAATCGAATAACTGAATCTGCTTGTGCCTGTGCCTATTCCTATCAAAAGTCCCTTGTTCTTGCCCAATACAACAATCCTATTTAGCCAGCTTAAACTCCCTTTGAAGGATCTTCAACATTTTCCACTCTGTAGCTATTTTCCCTGAGTCAATATCGACCTTTTCGAGGCATCATCCCTGAATAACCTAATCTGTAATTCTTTGCTTTCCCCCATCACCTTTCTATGATCTGATTTTTTTGTCCTCTTATTACATGTTTGGATTGCTTATTTCTTGCATTAGATTTTAATTGATTTTTCTTCGTACCATAGAGACTGGTAATTTTCTTCATACTATTGAAGACGATGTCAAATAACATATATTATTTTTTAAACCCCAGTTTGCAATTGAATGACATGTGCGTTCGAGAAAAAATAACGTCACTTGTTAAACAGCACATCCCTGAAGCCAAATTATCAGCAGAAAGTGAAGGAAAACTTGTCTATACATTGCCCTTAGAAAGAACAAATAGATTTCCAGGTAATGTACGTGAACACCATGAAATAAAATACCTAAATAATATTCGTAAAAATAATGTTAATGATAATTATTATAACTAATGTTTATTGAGAGCCTACAATGTATTTAAGTATTTGGAACATGATGCAAAGAATAGTATCACTAGATTATTTTATCTACAGTGGAAAATATTATATTCTAATTATTACATTATAATACCTGGGCATTTTAAGGAGCATTTTAAGGAGCATTTATTCCCTTTGTAGTGTGTAGCAGAATACTCTAGTATTCATAACCATGCATGAATACAAATGGTTGAAAATCTCTGGCTTAACCATTATATTAAACAACCACATGATATGGCTGGTTCTTCTCTTGGCAAGACTTTTGTGACAATTTTGGATTTTTCAGGCCAACACATAAAAGTTGACTTTATAACCACTATTATAAATCCTCTGTCAGGAAAATCATATAGCTCCATTTCATTAGGGTCAGTTTCTGGAAATTTATCTTGTTCTTTTGTTTGGAACATCTTTGACTAATGAGTTTTCATTTTCCTTGCCTGTCTGTGTTGATGTCTGTGCATTAGGTAAAGTAGGCACCCCTCCCAGTCATTATAGTCTGGCTTTGTACAAGAGAAGACCCGTACCAATCAGCCTGGTCAGAGATTCTGATCTTTTGCTCCCCAGGGAGAAGCAGACAGCTACAGTTTTTGTTAGGTCTCTCTGTGGTGAGCTAGGGCAGCGAACGATGTAACCTATAATCATCAAGATTGTGTGGTATTGGCAGAGTAACAGGCACATAGATTGAACAGTATAGAGAAGCTAGACACAGACCCACCCATGCAGTTCCAAATCAGTATGCCTAACTGTTTTGACAAAGGTAAAAAAACCATTCAGTGCCTTTTCAACAAATGGTGCTGGAGTAAGTACATTCATAGGAAAAAAAAATGAACCTCTACCTAAATCTTATATCTTATACAAAAATTCACTCAATATAAATCCTGGACTTAAGTACACAATGTAAAACTATAAACATTTTTTGAAAATAAATTGGGTAAAATCTATATCTCCTAGAACATATGATTAGGCAAAGAGACCTTATACTTGACACCAAAATCATAATCCATAAAAGGAAAAACTTATAAATTCCCTTTTCAACAAATGGTGCTGGAGCAAGTACTTCATCTAAATTAGAAACTTCTGCTTTTATGAAAGATCCTGTTAAGAGGATAAAAAACAAGCTACGGCAGAAAGTATTTTCCAATGTGTCTCATAAAGGAGTAGTATCCAGAATATATAAAGAACTCTGAAAACTCAACTGTGAAAAACAAACAATGCAACTGGAAATTGGGGAAAAGATATAAAGAGACATTTCACTGAAGAAGATATACAGATGACAGACAAGCACATGAAAAGATTTTCAAATATCATGTGCCATTAGGGAAATGCAAATTAAAACCACTATGAGACATCACTAAATACTTATTAAAATGGCTAAAATATTTTTTAAATAGCGATAATATCAAATTCTGGTTAGGAGGTGGAGAAAATTTATCACTCATGCATTGCTAGTGGGAATATAAACTGGCATAGCTACTCTGGAAAAGTTTGCAATTTCTTTAAAACTGTAAACCTGTAGCTACTATGCAACCAAGTAATCGCACTACTGGGCATTTATCCTAGATATATAAAAACATGTTCACACAAAAACCTGTACATAAATGTTCACAGCAGCTTTATTTGGAATAAACAAAAACTGAAACAACCCAGATGCCCATTAATGAGTGAATGATTAAATATATTGTGGTACACCTGTAATGTGCAATACCATTCAACAATGAAAAGCAAGAGGCTACTGCCATATGGTATATATATACACTGGTATACGCAACAACCTGGCTGAGTGTTCAGAGAACTAGGCTCAGTGGAAAAAGCCAATTCCAAAATGTTATACTCTGTATGAGTCAATTTATATAGCATTCTTGAAATAACAAAATTATAAACATAGAGAACATTAATAGTTGCCATGGGTTAGGCGAGGATGAGTCAGGAGAGATATGGGTGTGGCTATAAATGGTGATTGTCGTGGTGATGCAAATATTCTCTATCTTGATTGTATTACTATCAGTGCCTGGTTGTGATATTGTACTGTGGCTTCTTAAGATGTTATCATTGGGGAAACTGAGTAGAATGTGTAGATCCTTAGATCCCTCTGTATTATTTTTTACAGCTTCATGCAAATTTAAAATTATCCCCAAGTAGTTTAATTAAAAAAGACTTTACTAGTTGTGTTTATCACTCAGAGAATCTGCACTGAGTGGTTGAAACCATTAACCTCACCTTCTGTGTGGGTAACAAAGATGCATACATTACCCCACAAAGTCATTCAAATATATATTTTATGGTGACAACACAAGTATTCCTGAGAACCAGCAGGCAAAGTGTTAATCGAATCCTAATTAATGGATTTCAATAACAGTTGTAATTTAGAAGAGGTTCGTATAATTTTAGAGAAACAGAAGATGACACAAAATACTCATTAGCAGTTGCTATGTTATTTCCCTACTTTTCTGTCTACAGTACTGTAATCAAGACAGAAAGCTTTGAACTTATCCTTTTTCTCAGGGAGAAGCTCCAAGCTGAAGCCTCAGGACTTCTATAATCATACTAGGATTTAAAATTAGGTTTTTATTCAATTCCACTCGATTAACAATTATAATTCAAACCTATGTAGGCAGGGTCTTCGCTCTTTGTTTTGAGAACAATGACAGATGAAAAAATGTTATTGTGCACAAACTAAAGAATGAATGGACACAATTCACAATTTCCTACTGTTCCAAGAAAATTCGGAATCAATTTCTCATTTTCTGGCTATGAGATCTTGTGAATTTTTTCTTCCATAGTCGAAAGCAGAAAATTTGAAATGATTTATATCCTATATACTTCCTTTGACAGATATTTTCTGAACTGAAGAAGATTCTGCACATTCCATCTAATTCTCAAAAATTTAGTTCTATCCCTTTTGTTGGTGAAAGCACAAAAAGCTCCCATTTGTACCTGTTCTCTGGAAAAGACTTCTCAATTAATTAGGCTTAGAGTTGAAAAATTCTGAAGTTCTACTATTAATTAAAATGTAAAAGTAAGTCAGAAAAAAACTAAAATAAAATCTTTGTATAAATATAAATTAATATTTGATCAAAAGATTAGTGTATGGGCTGTGACACAATATAAAATAAAAAATCATGTAGTTAAAGAATGTTACTTATCATGTAATGTTAGTTTTTTAAATGTTCGACATATCGCAAGTATAATTCATATATCTGCTCTTTTTAGTTTCAAAAGTTGTCCTTGGTTCACTTGTGATTTTTGTTGTTTTGATTTGCTACTATATCTGTGTTCTTTAGAACTTTATGAGGATCTTGATCGCTGTCCTGGCCTTGGCATTGAGAATTATGGTGTTTCCATGACAACTTTGAATGAGGTGTTCCTCAAACTGGAAGGAAAATCAACTATTGAAGAACCAGGTAAATAAAATGCATAAAAATTATCTTGTAAAATATTTGCAACCCATAGTGCAGTAAATACTTCAAGAAGACACCATTCCAAATATGTGATTACACGATGTGGGGGTCCATGAGTAAGACAAGCATCTATAAAGGTGAAATGCATCCCTGTCACATTTGTTACCTCTACTGCCAATATTACTTTGATATTAAAGGTGGCCCATTTTCTTCTATCCAAGGCTCATAGCCCTCATCTTACCCCATTTTCCAGGAGCAGTCTTAGACAAAACATTTGTTCTAAATCTCTCTCTTCAAGCACTTCGAATATGTCATCTCACTGCCTGCTGGTCTCCATGGTTTCTGATGAGAAATCAGCCCCAAATCTTATTGAAAATTTCTTGGTATGATGAGTTATTTTTCTCCTGCTGCTTTCAAGATTCTCTCTTTCTGTTTTTGGCTTTGAGAGTTTGACTATGATGTCTTCAGGTGTGGACCTCTTTATGTTTATCCTGCTTGGAGTTTGTTGAGCTCCCTATATGTAAAAATTAGAGCTTTTCATTGAATTTGGGAAAGATTTTAGCCATTATTTCTTCAACTATGCTTCCTGTCCCTTTCCTCTATACGATCCTTCTGGAACTCCTATTATTGTATGTGGTAATATATGTTAGTATGCTTGGTAGTGTCTCACAATTTTCTGAGACTTAATTTTTCTTCATTCTTTTTTCTTTCTGTTTCTTAGACTTAATAATCTCAATTTATCTTTTTCATATTTGCTAATCATCTCTTCTACCAGATGAAATATGTTGAGCTTTTATTTTTCAGTGATTTGTTTCCCAGTTGTACTTTTCAAATCTAAAATTTCTATTTGGTTATTTTAAATAATTTTTACATCACTGATGATATGCCCTATTTGATGAGACATTGTCATACTCAATAATTTACAAATACGCTGGTCAGTATAAAAATACTAGTGGATTTTCTAAATGTTATTGTTACTGACATTAAAACTTTTAATGTAGTCATAAAGCACAACCTATGACTTAAAATCTTTTCATTTCATTGAAACTTGTTGAACCAATATTTCATCTATTTTGGTGAATATTTCTTGTCCGCTTAAAAACATTTATACATACATTCATATAAATGAATATATGTGTGTATGTTTGCAGAAGTATATACATGTAGAATATATATTTAAAGAACTTCAGTTGTGTAAAGAGTTGTACAAATATCAATTTAGTCAAGTTACGTGATAGCGTTGTTCAAATATTCTATAGCCTTACTGATTTGGTTTTTTCTATCAATTACAAGTAAGGGATAGTAAAATCTCCCAACTATGATTCTATAAGTGTCTAATTTTGTCTTTTCCTCCCATAAGTTAGGTAAGTTTTTATTCCATCTACTTTGAATCTCTGTTATTCTTTCTATAGCCTTTTGGGTGCCCTAATCTATCCAATGGATGGAAAATAGCTGTTATTTATTCTCTTGGTAAGAAGGGCGACAGTCTCTTGCAACTAACTGAAGCAGAAATATCTGAATTATTCTTCTAATATACTGTTGACCACTATCTTGTTTAAGATCCTTACATCTTTACTCATAACTGAAATGATGTGTTTTTATGTCCATGATTGAGCATGTGTCTTTATGTGTGTGTGATCTTTGTGACTTAATCCCAGGCTTATTTTAGCATCATACAATAAGCAGCATCCTGGATATCTAGACATTGCAGAGAATATACAAATGAGTGCACCCTCAAACAGTGTGGATAGATTTGAAATCCCTCCAGTAGCAACAATTTACAGTTAACTCCCAGTTTGTAGCATGTCAATTTGTAGCTTGTTTCTCTAGGTGAACACCTAAGATAATTGTTTCCTTTACTAAGTTTCTAAGTCACACCTAGGTGCTGTGATCATCTGGCATATTTATTTTAACCTCTTCAACATATCGTCTGTATCCAAAGTATCTAAGGCCTTCTTTCTAGTCCTTTTACACAAGAAATGAATCTTTCATCTATTTTTCTTGTTCCTGGCAATAGCCAAGAATACTACATAATACCTACAAGTTGTGCAGAAGACTATCCATAACATCCTTGGTAAAACAAACTCCTATAGTAAGCTCAATAAATTATGTCTGAAGTGGCATTTTAAGAACTGTTTATTTTGTGTTTTGCAGATATTGCCACGTTGGGAGAAGTACAAGCAGAAAGAGCTGCAGACACAGAAAGGCTTGTGGAGATGGAACAAATTCTCTCTTCACTTAATGAGACTACAGACATAATAGGCGGTATGGCTCTGTGGAGACAGCAGATCTGCACAATTGCAAGGGTTCGCTTATTAAAGTTAAAGCATGAAAGAAAAGCTCTTTTATCACTGTAAGTATCAGAATGCCATAGATTTTGTTCGGCCGATGTATTTAAAAAAAAAAATCTATATATAAGGTCTAAAAACGAGAAGCCAAACAAAAAATAAAAATAAATTTCTGCATCTGCACAACTAGATGAAGTATAATTCTCAGTCTCGCTCATGGTCCTAGTAGTTCCTATTAGTAGACGAGCAAGTGGAATTTATATCATTTCAGAGCCAGTTTTAGGGGAAAAGTTAGTCATGTAAGTTTTCCTCTAACATTCTCTGTCTTTCAGTGTTTCTCTTATGGTAAGTGACAAAAACATTGGGATGTGGACCTTTTTTCCCAGTATCCATATGCCAATGCCTTATTTTAGATGCTATATAGTTATGCTACCGACTCTTTTCCAGAAGTCCTGACTCTCCCATGAAATCCTACCTGCTCTTACGTAGATGTCACGATTTCCCTTCAGGCCTCTTAAGTGATGGTAGCTCACTCTCCAGAATTCCTGTCTGCGTAATGGGCACTATCCCTGCTCCTAGGGCTCATATCACCTCACAGGAGCACCCTGGTGTCCATAATACTTTAGCTGTCAATTAACACCGTGTCTGTGAGTAGGCCAATTAAACATCAAAGACATGGGATGCTTGGCACCTAATAGGATCTCAATAAATACTTGCTAAATAAATAATGAGAATTCATTGAGAATCTGTAACAAGATTAGCATGAATTACGACAAGGTGTAATATCATAAAGTTAGAAATCAAGAATGGAGGAAGGTTTCGAAGTAAAATAAAGCAACTTATTTGAAATGGAAAATAAAGAGTAAAAAATAATTGAAAAATTGAGACTGGAGACTATCATGCAGTCACTAAGAGAAATAGGAACTCTATGAAGAGGATCGGACATAAAAAATAATTGAGTATAAAGTGTTGATGAATTAACCAGCAGAAAAGGGGAGCATCACATTGGAATCTCAGGAGAGAGGCAGAATCTGGGCACAGAGTTAAAAGATCTATCCCATGAAATTGTGGCTAATGGACAGAGAGCAACAGGAGAAATGGATAGAAGGATAAATGTGGACTTTTATCATCTCTAATTTAGAGGTAGGACAAAATACTCAAGAAATGAGTCCGAGAGCTATATGTTTAATTTTCATAATCTCTTGATCGTATTACATTATAACCTGCTCAGATGGTTTTAAAAGGTTAGGAAATGACTATGCCTTCACGCTGACAATTTTCTTCTGTGCAGGCTATTGATTCTAGGAATTGGATTTTGCCCTGTGCTTTTGGAGTATATCATCTTGAAAATATACCAAAGCAGTTACACGTGGGAACTTTCTCCTCAATTATACTTCCTTGCTCCTGGACAGCAGCCATGCGATCCTCTCACTCAATTATTAATCATCAATAAAACAGGTAATAACGTGGTCAATACCTCATTTCCAGGTAAATGAGCTTTTGACTTCTTCAGCATGTGTTCAGTACAATTTATGAAGCTTGGGGATGATGAATACAAGCCCAAAATGGAGCAGGAATTAGAAAAATATTTGCCAAGGAGAATAAACTATCTGGTGGCAGTTTGCAAAATGGAAGAGTTTGTACCCCCAAAACATTTTTAACAGCTTGAGATATAATTCATAAGCCATATGATTTATTCATTTAAAGTGTATAATTTAATGATTTTTGGTATATTTACAGAATTGTGTAATCCTCACTACAATTCATTTTAAAATATTTTCATCTCAAAAACAAATTCCGTACTCATTAGTAGTCATTCTCATTCTCTCTGCCCCCAGCTCTGATCAATCACAAATTTACTTTCTACTTCTATGGATTTGCTACTCTGGGTGTTTAATATAAGTAGATTCATACAATATTTGATTTTTTGTGATTGACTTCTTTCACTTAGCATGATGTTTTAAAGGTTCATCTATGTTGTAGCATGTGTCAGTACTTTAATGTTTAAATTGTTGAATAATATTCTGTTTGTGTATATAGCACATTTTATTAGTCATCAGAAAATGGAAATTTGTTTTTTTTTTCAGTAATTGGTTATTATAATCAATGCTGCTATACACAGTAGTATCTTGTGGTTTAATCTGCATTTTTCTAATGGCTAATGATGTTGAGCATTTATTTCATGTGCTTATTGACCAGTTGTATATCTTTTTTAGAGAAATGTCTTTTATTCCCACTTTTAAAAATGGGTTATATTTTTTAATTGAGTTATAAGTGTTTCTTATATAGTCTATATACAAGTCTCTTATCAGATACAATAGATCCTCATTATTCACAGATTATGTATTTACAAATTTGTCCACTCTCTAAAATTTATTTGTAGCTCCCAAACCAATACTCATGGCACTTTCGTCATTCACAGATATGCTCAGAGATGTGAAAATTTTGTGTCACCTGATACACACATTTCCAGCTAACACTGTTAACAAATATCTCATACTGCAAACCAATATCCTCTCTGTAATCTGTTTAGTGCTGCATTTTTCACACTGTTGTGCTTTTCCTTGGCGATTTTGCTGTTTAAAGTGGCCCCCAAATACAGTGCTGAAATGCTATTTCTAAGCTCAAGAAGGCTGTGACATGCGGAGAAAATATGTGTGTTAGATCAGCTTCAATCAGACATGAGTTACAGTGCTGTTGGCTGTGAGATCAGTGTTAATGAAGCAACAATATATATGCAGAAGCACACAGAAAATAAAACAACGTATCAATTGGTGAAAAATTGTTGTAACCAGAGGCTCACAGGAAACCTAACTCTGTGTTTCCCCTGGGAACAATGGTTCAGTTTATCAATTCAATATTTGTGGTGACCACTGTGAATAATAAGAATCAGCTGTAAATGTGTTGCTGGTATTTAACTCATCCTGTAGACTGTCTTTTCATTTTGCTATTGGTGTCTTTTTTCAGCATAATGTTTTCATTTTTATGAATTCTGACTTATTTTTTTCCTTCCCTGTGCTTTTGATGACATTTTTAAGTAGGCATTGCCTAACCTGAGCTCGCAAAGGCTTGTTCCTCTATTTTCTTCTCAGGATTTTATACTTTGAGTTCTTACAGTTGGGTCTATGATCATTTTCAGTTCATTTTTGTGTGTAGCGTGAAGAAGAGAAGCATTTTCAATAGATACCCGTTATCTTCCTGGGAAGGGCAGGCCACCAATCTTTCTTACTGCTTTCACCTTCATGTTGCAGAATCTTGTTACCAGGCAAGAGTGGCCGAGTGGTCTGGAGTTCTCTTCTTCCATTCATCTTCTACTCATAGGGTAGAAGCTCTAATCTAGGGACAAGAGACCAAAAATCATCCTTGCCCCAATTCCTCCCAGGAAGATACTGTAACCTGGGCTTGGCTCTGAGGTCTTGGCTCTGCACATTTCACAGTGGAGCTTCTGTTATGCTAATCAAGGAAGCGGGGGCCGTGAACGTATAGGTATTTTCCACAGTTTCTCAATGTTCTTACACAGATTAGGTATATTCTCTTAAATAAATGGAGGGGTTTTTTTCATTTTCTATATGCCCTCAAGACAATCAAAAGATTTTAACTTGTTGGGCTGTTAGTAATTTTTTACTAGTTATGATTGTTTTTCTGGGGAGAAAGTCCATGGAGCTCTTCACGTAGCCATTTAACAGATTGTCTTCCTGTATCAAGAAACATTTTGAAGATCAATTAATAATCTAGCAGTAGTGAAGTGAGATTTAGCAAATTTGGTAGTTAATTAGAGATTATCTGCGTCATTAAAACCTTATTGGTATGGTCACTCATCAAAAGATTCTAGGGGGAAAAATGTGTACCAAATGCACCATATGGCAGTAATCATAAGCAAATAAACATATTATAAAGTAAATTCCATGAGAAGTAAGCAGATTTTTAATTCACAGTGGCATGCATGTTATCATGTGGGAAAATACCCTCACAGTCCATATTACAGTGAGTCTCCATATTACAGTAAGTGTCCATAGGGATGTTAATTTTAATTTCACTGCACAACTTGACATTGATTTTCTGAGTTTTGTGACACATAATACATTTAACTACAATTTAGGAGCAAGCATTGATGACTTTATACATTCTGTGGAGCATCAGAACATAGCTTTGGAAGTGGATATATCAGGAACTAGAAATGGCCTAGATGATCCATCATATAATGGAGCCATCATTGTGTCTGGTCATGAAAAGGTATGCTGGTCTCTATTTAGTAATTTTTCCTAAAGGTATAGAAAGCTAATATATCATCAATATACTCAGGTTTCCAATTTAGGAAACGAAATGAAAAATATATACTGCTTTCATTTATTACTTAGTGAATTGTAGTCATTAGTATGATAAATAATTCCTATATCAATCACTATCTACCAACACAAACTGTATGTATCAGCAAAATAAAAATACTATACAATCCTCGTACAATCCAAGTGCATATTTAAGTCCCAAGAATTCATATTTCTTCTCAAGGGTTTTCTAATACATATATTCTGAAACTTCTGTTTTGTTCTTAAACAATAATAATAATACTATTTGATTCCAATCTTAAGCCAGACAACTTGTGTCCTGAAAATCAGATACAGCCAATCATGCGTTTACTTACACAGTGTTTGTTTTAATTATTTGACATGATTTTTAAAACATGACTTTTTAAGTAAAACATTGAATTTTGACCTCTTTAGAAAAAAAAATATGAAGCTCTCTGAGAATTTATAACCTTGTTTTTTATGTTTTAGAATTACAGCTTTTCATTAGCATGCAATACCAAAAGACTGAATTGTTTCCCCGTTCTCATGGATATTGTTAGCAATGGGCTACTTGGAATGGTTAAACCATCAGCACATATCCAAACTGACAGGAGTACTTTTTTTGAGGTACGTCTATACTTTTATGAATTCTTTCCCATCAGGAATCTCCCAGATCACCCTTTTAAGTGCTGGACTTTTATTCTTATTGAGTCAACCACTGTGTGATAAATTAGCATTTGGGTTCATTGTAGCTCTCTTGCTTTAAGAAAACAACATACTTTTCAGAACTTCAGTTGTTTTTAATGTGAAATAAAACTAACAAAATACGTTTTCAAAGAGAATATGAGGAAACGGAAGTGAAATCATACAGAACTGTAACTAGCACAAAAATAATAAAATGGCGAAGGAAAGAACAGAGAGAGAGAGAGAAATAGAAGCCTTATTATTACTTTTGTAAATGCTACAAAAGAAAAATATGTAGGGCAAAGTTCAGGAAAGAATTGCAACTGGTTAAATGAGAATTACTCCAGTTCCTTGTCAAAAAATATTAATGCCTAGAGCCTATCATAGACCTACCAAACCAGCTTTTTTTAGACACAAGGCAAAACAAAACAAACAAAAACAACGTATTTCTGAAAAAAGGCCCAGATGATTGGACTGTCTATGGCCCTTTAAGTTTAGAAACCAGAATATCTATCAGAGTTTGTAATTTTTTCTTTTTGCTTATTTCCTAAATATATTTCTTCCTCTTAGTTCTTTAAGCATAGGGACCATGAATCTTTAACACTACATAATACCTTCTACATAGGATAGGGACTGGAACATCATAAGCACTGAATAACTTATTTGTTAAATATATAAATGAATGTCAGAGGCCTGGAAATCATCTATATCCCACCTACCCATAAGGTTTTATAATTCTATATATTGCTAATAAACATCTACCCATGTGTATATAAAATGGACCATGCATCCATCATTATTTTCATATGTTCCAGTAAGATCTAGGGTAACCTCTCACAACATACCTCACCATGTGCTCAGTAAATAAAAATTCCTTTCAGCGGGATGTTTAAGAAACTTAATCATTAAAGCAAAAAGCTTTAGTCATCCATCAAGTATTAATTAATTTTAGAATATATATATATGTGTATACACACACACACACACACACACACACACACACACACACACACACACACACTATGGTTTATTTAATTAACCTCCTAGAAGACTGTAAAAGCTTTTTTGATTTTCTGGTTTCTGAAGGAGGATACAATAATAGAGCAAATTGCCTTAGGATTTCATCTGCAAAAACATCCTGTTTAGCTAGGGGGAGTTTGATGACACCAACCAGCTCAGCTGACCTTACATTTATGTGCCCAACATCTCAACTTTAACTAACATCTCCAGCGACTCTTTGTATACTCCATTCGAATTTACCTACTCATTGCTCAAGTAAGAGTTTTTTTGTAATTTCAGACCTTGCTTCTGTCCTACCCAAAGTCAATGGATTCGCCACTGAGTACTAAACCCACCCAGCACGCAAGGTGTTCTGGAAAGATTCCGACGATAAACTTAAATCTTGTCTTTCTGTGTTTAGCAAGTGTTTCTCTAATGAGCAGGCAGAAGACAATCAGGCTCTGGTTCTAATTTTTTTTTTCGGTAATGTGCTTTATCAAACCACAATATGTGAACCATGAAAGTTACATAGGGACTGCATTCGAGAGGGTTCGTGAATCTTCTATCCTTAAAGATGGCTATAAAAAGGAGCAACAATATGTACAACCAAGGGCAAAGGTTTTCCTTGGAGGTTTTACTTCCCCTTCTAGTAATTCATCTCTACTTTTGAAACCTCAACCAATATTTATCTGGTCTCATGGAATACCTAAAAAGATAATTTATTGTCACTATGCCCATAAAATATCTCATATGGTTTCTGTGTCAAGCTATTACATTTGAAGTGATTATAAAGATCAGTTAAGAAATTGAATGTTTCAACTGTGAATTATTATTATTTCTTATTTAGCATCAGAATAAATTTTAGAATCATAAAGTAAGAAAATGAAAAAAATCTTACTCATTACTTTCAAACTCTGTAATATTATAAATTTACTTACCTTCTTTGAATCACTTTCCTTATCCATAAATTTGAGTATCAAGCTAAAAGTCAAGCTTCAAAACTGAATGGATAATGAAAGAGTTTGAAAACCTCAAAAGAGACCTAAAGCAGGATTATATATAATCTGTTTTATATTTTCTTAAATGTATTCCAGAAAATGAATTTTAAATTCATTCATTCAGCTCATTGTATTCTTTGCTTTTTCAAAAGGAACAAAATAACCCATTTCAGTTCCTGTTCCCTGTCATGTCCTGGTTGATTCTGGCATCCAGTTGTGCTCCTTATATTGCTATGAGCAGCATTGATGATTCTAAGGTAACAATGAGTAACTGCAAATTTTATTACTTTGAATGATTACATGCTGAAGGTAATATAATTACAGAATTTTTAAAGAGGCTATTTATATATGTTTAATTGAGCAGCCAATTCAGACATAAATCCTAAGCTATAAAAATAAAAAGAAGTATAAATAGAAATATAAATTATAGATAGATGAGAGAGAATAATTCTAAAATTCACATGGATATGCAAATATCTTAAAATAGGCAAAATAACTGAAGAAGAAAAACAAAGTTGGAACATTTATGCTTCTGACTTCAAGGTTTATTACAAAGTTATAGTAACTAAGAATGTGTTGTATTAATTAAGGATAATCATATAGATATATAAAATGGAATAGACATTTCAGATATAAACCTACATACATATCATCAATTTATTTTCAATAAAACTACCCAGGGAATTCAAATGGGGTTAATCCTCTCAGCAAATTGTATGGAAACTTGATATTGTTATGACAAAAATGTTCTTAGCACTCACTTCACACCATACACAAAATTATTTTGAAGTGAATCAAATCTTGTGGTAGGCAAATATTTCATAGGTGAGACAGAAGCATAAACCATAAAAGAAAATGATATTTTGAACTTCATCAAAGTTGAAACCGTTTGCTCTTTGTAAAACATCAATAAGAAAATAAAAAGCTGTGGGCTGGGAGAAAAATGTTCACAATACATATATATTTAACAAAAAACTGGTGTTGAGAATATAAAGAATTCTTACATCTCAGTAATAGAAAATAGCCTAATTTTAAAGGTGGGCGAAATATTTGACAGATACTTCACCACAGAAGATATGTAAATGGAAAATACTTCCATGAAAAGATGGCCAATACCATGAGTAATCCAGAGAATAACCCCAGTGAGATATCTTTACGAACCAAATAAAATGAATAATGTTAAAATGACTGACAACGTCAGGAGTCAGTGAGGGTGTGGAGAAACTGGAACTCTCATGCATTGCTGGTGGGAATGTAACTTGTACAATCACTTTGCAAAAACAATTTGGCCTTGTCTTATAAAATTAAAAATATACTTATTGCATGACTCAGCAATTCCTCTCCTAATTATTTACCCAAGAGAAAAGAAAACATCTTTCCACAAGCAGACTTGTACCTTTATGTTCTTAGTAGCTTTATGCATAGTAGCCAACAATCTGAAACAACCCAAATATCCATCAAGCTGTGAACTGATCAATTCTGGTAGAGACATACAATGGACTACTACTCAGCAATACAAAAGAAGGGACAACTAAAAAATGCATCAACATGGATGAGGTACAAAAGAGTAAATACTGAATGCTTTCATTTATATGAAATTCTCAGAAAGGTAAAACTAATACATCGTGGCAGAAAGCAGACCTCTGTTTTCTTATAACCAGCAATAAAGGCTATTGACTGCAAAAGAGCATGGAAAATTTGGGGAGGTGATGAAAATGGTCTGTACCTTGATTATGATGGTGATACAGGAATATATGCATTCATCAAACCTCATGCAACCATATACTTAATATGGGTACTTTTTATTGTTTAAAAAATACATTTCAAAAATGTTGATTAAAAAGAGATTGTTGAAATAAAAGGAAATGATATTTTGAAAATGTGAGAACTTTGGAGAAATAAAAAGAAAATCCCAATGTTGAACTGATAATCTATAAATTTTCATTCACGCTCTTTCAATAATTCAAATGACTCTTTTAATGTGTCTACAAATTATTGGAGCATCTTGTTAAGATGAAGATTCTGATTCAGTAGTTCTGAAGTGGAGACAAATTTTGAGTAGTAATCATAAGGTGGCGAATTTACATGATAATCAAGGCAGGCCAACTCACATTAGCGTTACTTACAAATTTCAATAGAATATCCTTTAATGGCTCCATTTTTTTAACTTTATTACACAAAATCTGTGAAACCTGGTATAAGCATTTCTGTTTAATCAGTACCATCTTCATCTGTGTCACTTCCTCTGCACAGTAATTCTGTCGCCCAAGGGAAAAGAGTATTATCCGTATAATGTTCCCTCTTTAGCGTAGAACCTGCAAGAATCCCCGGAAATACAATTTACAGGCCTGATATAACTGTCAGTCATTCTGGCAGTAACATAGTTTAAACTTAAAACTTCTCCCTTAGAAAACATGAACACTTTCTTGCTTTAGCCTGTGTGATATCACAATTTCACCAAGTTTCTCTAAGCACTGGCCACTGTCCTTTTGTCTCCTTTAGAATTTCTTATTCCTCTGTCATCTCTACATTTAAAAAATCCTCAGATCTCCTCTACCTACTAGTCACTCACAGATTTGATTCTAGTTCAGATCTCTAATTTGTAATTTCACCTTCAAGGCTGATCCAAACTTCTCTCTCAGCTTTTCCATTGGAGACGTCACAGACTCTCAAACTTCATGCTTCCAAAACTGAATTTATGATATTCTTCAATGTTTACCTTCTTCCAGATTGTCTGTCTCCATAAATGTCAGCACTATGCATCACTTATCCTATCAGTAACCTAAAACTGTCTTTCATTCCTCTTATAGCTTCACTCACAAATCCTGTAGATCACCAAATCCTTATTTGACATGAGTTCTTAGGTCAGTTTATGTCTCAGACAAAAGCATCATTTAGCTGGTCAGTGACCACTAACAAATAAATGTAAATATTTCAAAAGAAAATACATTCAAAATTATTAGAAAGGTTTAAAATATAATTTGTGCCTAAAACCGCATCACTGGATAAGTAGTTAAAAAAATGTGATTTAAGAGTTTATTCAGAGAACAACAAGGAATACAAAATACATTTATATGTATGAATATGTTTATATTTACGTACATATACACAAATATTTGGATGGATAGTAAATATTTGAATGTGTTCTAGGGCAAAACTGACATGTCATTTATTTATATTAAAAAGATAAAGCTATTATTGAGACACACGCAGATGCAATCTAGGAAATAGTGGGGAATGGAAGGAGGGAGGCGGGGAGAGAGAGAGAGCAGTTCATACGGAGTCAAAGCAGAATCACTCTGATGAAAAGTTAGCTGCTTAGCTAGATAAACTATTCCACCCCACACCCGTAAGTCATTAATCACCGTTATATTTACCGCAGTGCTGATGCCTTGATTATTCTGAGGTCTTCTTTCACATGTTTCTATCAGATGTGTGATGAACGTCAGTGCTGTTAACTAAAGCAGCAAACCAATCATTTATCTTTGGATTTATCCATATCCATTGGTCAGATAACAGTTGTTGACATGATGCAGAATTATTACGAATGAAGGTTTCGTTTGAATAGTTGTTTACATGATCCACATTTTCTTCAACCTTACATTGAAATGCCATTTGTATTTTTGCTGTCTCCTAATCAGAACAAAGCTTGGTCCCAGCTGCGAATTTCGGGGCTCTTCCCTTCTGCTTACTGGTTTGGACAGGCGCTGGTGGATGTCCCAATGTACTGGTTGATATTCCTTTTTATGTACTTAATAGACTACATTTTGAGCATCCAAATTTCTCTATTGAAAAGTATAATTCAGATTATGCAGGTAAGTGACAATATTCATAGAACAAATATCATTGTACAATTTAATTAGAAAATTTGAAGAGGCAAACTGTTTTCACTGATGATCACATTGTCGCGAATTTAATAATTATAAAACCCTGTGCTATGACGACACTTTGGATCCTAAATGTTTCCCTAGATTGCATTTGCCTTTAACTAAACGTAACATTCTGTTGATTTCAGATCCCATGTGCTCTTGGTTATGCCACATCGCTTATCTTCTTTACATATATAATTTCATTCATTTTTCGCAAGGGGAGAAAAAACAGTGGCGTTTGGTCTTTTTGCTTCTTTATTGTAAGTATATTTCTTTTGAACATTTATTTTACACATGTAATGTACAATTCTGAGCTAATACTTTAAAATTTGCCCTTGGTAGAATGATAAATTAATATTACAGTCTAAAATATTTTAAGTTTGCTTTACATGCGGATCCTTTTCAAAATATGCATCTTTTTCTCTTCCTATTTCTACCCTTGTCTTTCTTTAAAAGTAGCCAAATTTTTTTTCTAGAGCCGTAAAATATTTACTGGAAGAAAACCTGAAAACCATCTGTTACTTTCTTTTTACTGAAAAAAAAAATCCCAAAGGTCTCTATGAAGTTATACAAGATTACACTCTTACTAGCATAGTTAAAACCAGAAACTACTTCTCCAACTCTGTACTAAGAATTAATTCCATAAAGCAATACTCACTTTATCTAAATTAGGAAGGGGGAAAAATGTACAAGCATCTATTCTGACTTCCTGTCATTTCAGGATGCCAAAAAGAAAATAATTAATTCAACAAACATCACTTGGCTTCCAGCAAAGTGTCACAAACTAAGACTGCTAATGGAGAAAAAAGAGTCTCAGCACTGAAAGAGGGCTTACAGGGTAAACAGATGAGCAAACAGCCGCTTATTAAAACAGTCATAAGGCAAAGATTATCAAGCTCTCATCTATTTTTAAAAGACTGTTATACAACTGAGGAATAAAGAGGTCTATGAAAACCAGAGAAGGGAGAGATCCATTCATGAAAACAAGAGCAGAAGTTTTCTTTAGGAAGTGAAACTCGAAAGAATATAAGATTTCAACAGCTAGAGAAGAATGATGACGCAAATAGAAAATAATGGATGAACAGAAACCCAAAAGGGAGAAAGTCCTGGGAACTGGTAATAATCTGACATGGATATGGTGCAGCCTGAGCATGGTCCTAGTTATGGTAAAAATAATGGTCGGAATCATAACCGACCTTAAATGATGTGCTCAAGAATTTATTCTACAGATCATGAGAAGCCATGGCAGCTTGCAGTACAGAAAAGAAATATGATCAGAGATACACTTTTAGGATGGATATTCTGAAAGCCATAAAAGCAATGGTTTGTAAAACAGAGCTATTAGAAGTAAAAAACAAAAACAAAAAGAACAAAAAAAAAACTACAACAACAAAACTTTCAGGAAGGCACTGCAATGGTTTAGAAGAAGTCTGAGATCATCAGGTGTCCCTATAACTCTCTTATCCCTGAATTTTGTATTTTAGTACTTGTACTAAGACCCTCTAGGTTACTAAATGCTTATATTTCTCCATTGATACAGTTGACAAAAGTCTCCTTTCATTGTTGTTAGCTATTAATTTCAATTTTTACTTTTATTGCTTATCTACTGATCTGAATTTTACCTCTAAAACAATACACACCACTTTTTTTCCTTTTCTATAATTAAAATATTCTATTAATTGAAATAGAATTTTAAATTAAATTAAATTAAAATTCTCTTAATTAAAATTCCAATTAAAATAATATATTAGATCCTCGATTTATCCAGTGATGTCTCATTTGTGATCCTCCAGGCCAAAGGAATTCGGCTAAGTTACTAAGAGAAAGTGTCAGTAGAGATATGCTGATTTCAGCTTGGTTTTTGAGGCTGGAGCAGAGATTAGGGATATTGCCAAAGAATAGCCATCTCAGTTTGGAACATCTATTGAAGTTCAGGGCAGTTAACATGCATATTTGCATTTTCTTTAGATCACCTTCTTCTCTTTGGCTATGCTCCTGGTGGATAACTACGAATATGCTTCGCTGTATGTTGTCACCTTTTTAATACCACACGCCACATTACTTGGCTGTATGCTCCTACCTTTTCGTGTAAGTAATGCCACCATCTTTCCTAATGTCCTGGAACTGATGACCAATTGTGAAAACTTTGCTTAGGGTTGGGACTCTACAATGTGTTAAATATGCATGACATTTGAAGATTTCTACTTCAGGGATTCCATCTGAATTTCTCTCAGATAAGATGATATAGTCCAACTGAACTGTAATGGAAGAGTTGGCACTGACTAATGGGTAGGGAGGAAGGATAATGGGTAGCGAGAAACAGAGCAGCCTTTAAAAAACACAGCTTTAGAAGGGGGCAAATGAGATGTCCCTAATCTTTAGGATTTCAGGATTCTAGAGAAGCTCTCAATGTGAATAAAATCCTTTTTTTTTTTTTCAAGCTGACTGATATCTATACTTCTACGAAAAGAGTGAAGAGGTATCCGTAGGGAGGCTAAAGGAGAGAAAGGGGTCTTGTGAAAGGAACAGTGGGCGCAGGAAGGAGTGTGAAGGTCTGTGTGAGAAGAGTAAATCCTGCCTCTCCCTCACTGTCTGGGGAGGCTAGCACAGATCCCCAAAGAATAATGGTTAAATCCTATTGTTTCAAATAAAGGCACAATGGCTTAGAGACCTTGGGAGGGAGGCAACTCCTCACTACAAATTTTGGAATAGACATTTAGACAGCACTCTTGGTGCCATTAGGGCTGTTCGATAGGCCAGTTCACATTTATATGGATAAAATTCATGAAACAAAAAATTTCCTATTTAACCATTATCTTTCTTTTTTTTTGCAGCTTATATTTTCTGCAGGTGCAGAGGTCTTTCTGATATCCCTAATCGTAAGAACACACTCTTCTTTAAAAATTGTCATGTATTTTACTAAACTAAACCATTTTAATTCCTGTGAACACAGTGAAACTTTTTATTAAGGTGAATATATAGGTATCTGTAGCCCATAGAGATAAAATATTTGTAAAATATGGAACAACTTTTTTTATAAAGATCAAATAACCAGATAATATGCTTCCCAACTCTTAAAAACAATAAAGTGAAAGTATCACATAATTATATTCCAGTGTTTCTGTAAACAAGATTGAAAGTGAATTTGATTGTTTCCCAATTTGACAAATAGATTATTGGATATTTTAATAATTTTGCCAAATGCATCTTTGCAGAAATCCAATTATTCCTAATTGTGCATGTTTCTCTTTATTCCTAGCCATTCCTTCATTTTATCATCTTTGTTTTTATTCTTCGATGTCTGGAATGGAAGTTTGGAAAGAAATTGATGAGAAAGGATCCCGTCTTTAGGTTGGGAGAAATCAAATTGAATTCTTTCATTTCAGTGATAAATATTTTAAAATATTTTCTCATATGTGAATTAATCCATTAACACACAAATGCCAAGTGCTAGAATAAGCTGGGGTAGGAACCATGTGCCGATACAAGTAATAGAGATCAAGGTACCTAAACCAAAGGAGATTATAAATAGTGGAGGAAACAGACTTGAAACATTAAATATGAAGATAGAGCTCTATCTGATACCGTATGCAGTGGAACACTGGGCAAAGTTACATGCAGCTAGTTCAGTTTAAATAACAATTAATTTGGATAGATCGGCAGTTGAAGGAATGCTACCACTCCAGAAAGTAAGACTAGAATGATCACTAGGTCAAAGATAGCAATAACTATGCTCTTTTCCTGTGGTGATGAGAAGCTCAACTTGTGGATCATAAGCTTGTTCAGTTATGAACGGAACTTAAAAGCTGAGACTTTTTTTTTTTTTTGCACCATTCATAGATACATCCATAAGCATCTTATTCTCTCTGTGTCTCCTATACCACATCAGTTTTATCTTTAGCTTTTACAGGGTGGGAGACTTCCAAGAGGAAAGAAGACCTTTAAGAAACCTTCTAAGATCAATATGGGATATTAGGTTGAAGGAAAAGAGAATAGTATGAGCTATATTCTGGGTATGAGGGACAGAGTTAGAACAGAGGAGAAAGAGTGAATCTGACACATAGTCTGAAGAAATGGTCAAGCCTAATAGAAGGTCAAGCATCTTACCTATTTAGTGGGGAGCATCTGGCTTCAAATATTCTGTCCCTGTGAAAATATAATAATGCCAACCTGTTGGTGTCAAAGCTAGGGTTCTCAGAAAAATTATTTCATTAAGCTATAATATTAAAATTCTTTGTCGGATAATAGATACTAAATTACCTATTGCTATTTTTTAAAAAAATAATGTTTCTGTAGATGAGTAGAATGAAAGATGTGTCAGAAGCAATGGTCTAGTAGTACCATTGACAGAAGTTATGAAGGAAGGAAGGTTCACGGAACTGAAAAGAGATTATGATGGTTTATTAATTACACAATCTACTCAAGTATATGATTTAAAGAACGCAGTATTCTTGATACAAGGACGAAAACCCAAAATCAATTACTAATGGATGGTTTCGACTCCAGAATTTCTCCAAGGAGCAGCGATGTATGTAAAAATCCAGAAGAGCCAGAAGGGGAGGATGAAGATGTTCAGGAAAATGCCTTGAATTCCACAAACTTTGATGAGGTAAAAAACCTATGAAGCAGTTATTTCATGAAACAACACAAATGTTTATCCGTGAAAGTGGTCTGTCTACAAGTCTCCTTCTCAAATGACCTTGAGTTTCTCCAGTTCATACAAATGAGGATCGCTACTTTTAGTAGGTAGTCATCATTTTTACACTAGATGAGCAGATTAAAAGTTATGTTAACTCGCTTCGTCTTTCTTAGAATAAAAAAAAACAAACAAAGTAGAGTGCAGTTGAAATTGCAAAAGCCAAGAAAGAACTTGTAAATTTTAGAAACTAAGCAAAGTGACACCGATTCACTGCATCTTGGAGAAAGTAACTGTATGAAATTCGCGGCAAAGTCCGGTCTTCAGGATGTCGGTCTTGAGGATGACTCGGTACTTCTCCGAGTCTCCATGCTTCTGTTCTGAGAGATGCTAGGATGGGAGGACGGCCAATGGATAGGTCACCTAGTAGAAGGTCTTCTTTGATGCCTGGCTTGTGTAGCAAGAAGCCAATCGAGTGGGAGGATAGAGCTTTTTCAAGATTAATGGAGAAAATTAAGGTCTAACATGATTTCCTTGTCATTTACAGAAACCAGTCATCATTGCCAGCTGTTTACGCAAAGAGTATATAGGGAAGAGGAAACACTGCTTTTCCAAGAGGAAGAAGAAAACAGCCACAAGAAATGTCTCTTTCTGTGTTAGAAAAGGTTAGACATAGTGGACCTTCTGTTTTTGGCTCAGGGCCCTCCATAGAGCTGTATGGTTCTTGACGAGAACCATTCTGTACACCGACTCTTGGTTCACACACAGACTCATCAACAGGGTGACAATGACTGTTGCTTTTACATGGCTCATTTCTAAATGAAATTAATTAACTCATGCCCATGGATAAAGATTAGTCATATCTACATGGAAACCATAAGCGCTCTATTAAAATGAACCACCGAGACCATGACATTTCTACTTAATGAACATGATTGGTTTCCTAATGTTCATTATTTTTCACAAGATAACTAATGGGATGTGCCAGCACATTCTGAAGGCTTAATCAGCAGATGTTAGATGACCTTATTTTGTGACATCTCACAGTGCTTAGGATCACCAGAGATAGATGACATACCTACTAGCTTCCAAGAGTGGCTTTATCACTTCCCATCAGTGTGACTTTGGGCAACAAACCTCATCCCTAAGAGCTTCCATCCCCAAATAAGTAAGAAAATATGATAATTACCTCTGGGGAGGGTTGACAATTGAATGAGGTACTATATACAAAGCACATAGCACAACACTTGTCACATAGCAAGATTTCAGACTGTTTTATTCTTAATTTTACTATTAAAATCAATTGGTATTGAATGTAACCTTTTTTCGTTTCTTTCAGGCGAGGTTTTAGGATTATTAGGACACAATGGAGCTGGTAAAAGTACATCCATTAAGATGATAAGTGGAGACACAAAACCAACTGCTGGACAGGTAGGTGAATTATGAGAAAAATATGCTATCTAGTGGTGCTCAAAATAAATTTTACAAGACATTAAAACTTCAAAAACAACAAAGTCTCTTTTAATCACTGGATGATTAACAGGATTCACGTGGCAGAAAAATACATCACAAACTATCACATTAATACACACAAAAGTTAATCACAGAAAGGGGATAACTATTCATGCCTTCAAAGGCATCTATAGGGAATGTTCAGTATTAGATCAGAAGAAAATATCAGAGTCCATACAAATTCTATTTATAGTACCGTAAAACAACGGATTTGCTCTTTCAGTGCGTACTGTCCTCCAGTATGTAATGCTTCAATCTTGAATAGAAATGTATTTAAAAAAAAAAAACCTATTAAACAATCATATTCATTGTCCTTTAAAAGTACTTCGATACTAGAACACATATTTTGGTACAAATACGTTATCTTGGGGGAGTGTTTTCAAGAAAAGTCTTGAGGCTGAGCAACAGAGATAGGCAGTCGACTGATTGTACAGGCAATTCGGCCGTAGAAGGAGGCCAGGCAAACAGAAAAGAGAGACAGGGAGACAACATGAGGCATAAAGAAAACTTTTTTTTTTTTTCCACCTTCTGTGGCAGAAGATAGAAAACCTTCAGAACTCTTTTGGAAAATGTGTCCAGGGAAAGGGGAAAAGTGCAATCTAAGGCAGAGGTCTGTGGAACTACACCAAGGGGAAGGGTTGGTGGTCCAACCCACCGGGAAAAGACCACCAGGCATGTGGTTGATGGATATCCCACCAAAGAGGAAGGAGAACGCATGTTCTCTGTCCCTCTGAGGCCGATGTGAGAACAGGTGTTCTTGGCAATGTGGGTGGCTCAGCCAACCCTAACGGGGCTCCTTCGTTCAGTGGAGACCACCTTCCAATTCAGTCACTACCTGGACCCCGAATCAATGTTTTATCTCTCATTATCAAGCAGGGGGAAAAAAGAGGTAACTGTTCATTGATATATTAGAATGAAATATGTTTTTAAATTTTATTTTATTATTAGTTTCAAGGATATAATATAATTGGTTAGATATTTATATAGTTTATAAAGTGATCCCCCTGATTGCTCTTTCTCTCCTCTGGCTCTACACCTGGCCATTACATTAACGCTAACTTCATTCCCTATGCTGTAATGAAATATTTTCAAAGGTAAGTAATATCTCAATTATAAAGCCGACTATTTGGGTGTCATGAAATCAGCTTTAATCAGATCTGCGACTGTGATCTTTATCAACAATGTCACTGTCCTGCTTAAACGCTTTCAATGCCTCTCACCGCATGGTGGCTGGGATGAAAGCTCCCGTGCTGGTCAGGAGCTGATTTCTGTGTCCCTTCTGCCACATCTTTCTCCTCTCCCCTTGACCACTCTGCTCTGGGCCCCCCACCTTTGCCTCTGGTCTAAGGACACCCCTCCACAGAGCTTAACTCTGCTCCCAAATTCGTTTTCTTTTCCAGGCCAGGTGCCTTCTTGCTGTTCTGTTGAAATGGCCCCTCAGCAGACAGGCTTTCTCCGACCACCCGACCTAAAGTCACTTCTCCCGTTATTTTCCACCCAGGCCCCCTGAATGTTTCCATTACTGCAGCGCTTAGGATCTGTCTGTGTTCTCTTTACTCATTTCTCTGCTCGTTTACTGCCTGATTCGCTCAAGGAGACTGAAAACGCCAAGTAACCCCGATGCTGGCTGCGCCATTGCTCACTGCATCCATCACAGGCAGCACCATGCATGTTGCCTAGGCAGTTCTCAAAAAACATCTCATCAGTGAGGGAAGCTAAATAGCGAGTAATTAAATTAATGCACTTCTTTCTGAGTGCGATGAAAAAATAAGATATAAACTCTTGGCCTTGACGGCGAGACACCACATTTGTGAGATGTATGATCTTCAGCTTCGATTAGGTTGTGCATGCCTTTCTCTCCATATATTTACTCACTGACAATCTCTCTCCAATGCAAATGGTTGCAGATAATTACACTCAACGAGATCCTAGAATTTCTCTAGTTTTTCTACATTTGTAAGGAGCGAGATGTCATGGAAACACAGAAAAGCCATGCGGGTGGTAGAGACTGAGGGCAAACTTTTCTTGGCAGGTGCTTCTAAAAGGCAGCAGCGAGGGGGACGACCTGGGGTTTCTGGGGTACTGTCCTCAAGAGAACGCGCTGTGGCCCAACCTGACGGTGAGGGAACATCTGGAGGTGTTCGCCGCCGTGAAAGGCCTGAGGAAAGCGGACGCCGCTGTCGCCATCACACGGTACACGGGGGGACACACCTGTTCGCTGCCTGAGGGTGCCGGAGACGCTTGGGAGTGACGACCTTCCTGGGAAACTGAGGACCGGACACTCTAAATGCTGACCAGAACACGTTGGGTGGATCGGCCGTTAGAAACTGTTTCCCCTGATTTCAAAGTGTTATTCTTTTTTCTCATACTAAACATGGAAAGAAAAAAGTCACTATTCGTTGGTAAAATTTCTCAATACTAAACTTTAGGTATAAGCTAGCACAGAACAGCTATTTGGAGATCATGACATGTGCTTATATTCTTTTAAAAGGAAAAACTATCTTTTGGGGGGGGGATCGAACCAAGTCAGTTTTAGGATGGCCTGGCGTCTGTTCTCAGAACCACATTTCTGAGCTCTGCTCCCCATCCTGGCCCCGTGCGGCCCCGTTCTCCCACCGGCTCCCTCCGCTGTCCAGAAGCCTGACCGACTGACTGTCTCCTGCAGGTTGGTGGGTGCGCTCCAGCTGCAGGACCAGCAGAAGCGGCCGGTGAAGGCCTTGTCGGAGGGAATAAAGAGAAAGGTAGGGCCGGGGCCCGGGCTTCCTCCGCGCCCCCCGCGGGTCGGTGCCAGACGCGCTGTTCCTCTGGTTGCAGCTGTGCTTCGCGCTGAGCATCCTGGGCAACCCGCCGGTGGTGCTGCTGGACGAGCCGTCCACCGGGATGGACCCCGAGGGGCAGCAGCGGATGTGGTGAGGAGTGCTAGCTGGTCAGGGACCGCATGGATTCCTTGCAAGAAATCTATGAATTGCCTACGGCCATGCCACCCTGAACAAGCCTGATCCCATCTGATCTCGGAAGCTAAGCAGGGTCCAGCCTGGTTAGTACTTGGATGGGAGACCACTTAGGAAGACCAGGTGCTGTAGGCATAAGAAAAAAATAAATAAGTAAGGGATTGTAAGCTGACAAGGTCCTTGCAATTTGTGAAGTCAACTAAGGGTTGCTTTGCTTAAAAAAAAAAACAAAAAAAAAACTGTAAATTGTTTTACTCCTGTAAAAATTGTCCCTTAAACTGTTTCTTAATGTGAGAAAAAAAAAAAAGCCACTCTTAGTATCATTAGTAAAATCAATACTTTGCAAAAAAAAATATCTTTCCCTCATAGTAGTTCCTAACCATTTATCGTTAAGGAAAAACAAGCATTGTCAGGGCCCAAACATACTCAACTTGAGTATTGTAATTGCTCGATTGATCTTTTAGGTAGCGATGGTGCATCTCTGTGACACGATATGACACAATCATCACATAGGATGACACGATCATCGCATTCTATTCTATGTGATGACACAATCATACATAGCGTCATCACATAGAGTGAGAATTCTCACTGGGTTGCAAAAGTGGGGGCAGAATGACGGTTTGGGATGTTGTTGTGTATGTTTATTGTGCCTTTATGTTCTCTCTACTAGGTTGTGACAACTCCATCGTTAGATTCGGTGCCATTCTGTTCCTCTCTGCAAAGCCTTTACATAAACAGTCTCTCGCTCAGCATTTCTCTTTTACTGCAACCTCATAATAAATACTGTGTCTTGTTCACACCCCTCCTTTAACGCCAGCCTCCAGTGTAACAGCTCTCACCTGGCTTGCCCTTCTTTATGCCACCTGCCGACTTAAGAGCCCTAACTTGTTTAATCTTTTTGCTAATGATTCACATTCCTGCCCGTTAAAAATTCTTTTCTCTATCCATTTCTGATTAAACAGAAGTCTTCCTTAATTGTAAATATTCTCTTGACAATTTAGGCAGGCGATCCGGGCCACCTTTAAAAACACGGGGAGAGGCGCCCTCCTGACCACCCATTACATGTCAGAGGCTGAGGCCGTGTGTGACCGCGTGGCCATCATGGTGTCCGGAAGGCTGAGGTAGGTGTTCGTCCAAGTCCACACTTGACCCTGGGTGTGTGGCTGTGAGAGTCTGTGGCCAGAGAGCACCTGGGTCTCACAGTGAGGCATCACTAGCAGCGAATCAGGAGTCACAAACGTTGCGATCTACGTTCTTTTTCTCTTTCTGTTAACGACCTCATTCTCCTCTTCCCTCCAGATGTATCGGCTCCATCCAGCACCTGAAGAGCAAATTTGGCAAGGTTTACCTGCTGGAGACGAAGGTGAAGACCCCCACACAAGTGGAACCCCTCCACAGCGAAATTCTGAGGCTTTTCCCCCAGGCTGCTCGGCAGGAAAGGTAAAGGTGGTAGCTGGTTTTGATCTGGTGTCAAATGTCAGCTTTTCCTTGTTAGCTGCATTGAATAGTAGTCATTCGAGTCCACATTTAGCCCAAAAAGAAACCTAAAAGAAATAAATGATTTGTTGGTTGCTGCAGAAAATAAACTAGAGAAGAGCTGATGTAAAAGCTGGTGTAACACGTGTCGTGTTCCTACTGTATGCCAGGTACTATCTTGGTCTCGTGTTATCTTATTTAATCCTCACCAAGACTTTCCAAAGTAGAAACTGGTGTTCCAGTGAAAAATGAGATGATTTCAAAAGGGCATTATAGGATTCTGACCTTCGCAATACCTTAATAAATGGAATTATTATATTTACGAATAGGAAATTAGTAGAAAGTTTAGATCACATGAGGCAGCTAACAAGAGGCAGAACTAGGATGTAAAGCTGATTATTTCACATCTATTAATATTTCCAACTTTATATAGATGCCAGTAATGAAACAATCCTCATGAAAGTAATACACTAAAAAAAAAAAAACACAAAGATTAAATTTAGGGTCATTTTTAACACCTAAAATTTACTGCAGAAGACAGATGATTTAGGAGTTAGGAAGGAAAACAGTAAAGAGAAATGTATCATCATGACAAGGTCTGAAAATATATTTCTACAGTGAAGTATAACTATAAAAGCAATGCTATAACTCAATGTACGGCCCAGGACTGAATAGAAATATATCATAAAGGTACAGGGAATAAGCAAAATAGATGATAATGATTGCTCCATAAACATATGAAATAGTATCTTATGAAATGAAATCTAAATCTTCCTGATTTTCAAATGTTGAAAAGACAAACATCTGAGAAAAAAAATATTTTTAAAAATTGTCGTTGCTGAATTCCTGGTAATTTCTAGTCCCCTAATCAGAGAGTTATATTATCCTATTTTCTGAAAGCAGTTTGAGTAGCGGGAGCGGGGGGTAAGGTGGGAGAGGTATGAATACTCTGGAGAATAGACTTAGATTTCTACCCGAGTTGGGAAACTTCAAGAACTACGTAGTGTCAGTGCCAGCCAAGGAGTAAGTGTTTAGCTTAGAAAATAAGGCGGAAGGTGACTTTGGCAAAGCTGGACATTTTATTTATGCTGTACCTGCTCGTCTCCATCCAGGGATGCTAATCGGGTCTTACTCTCTCATCTCGTTCTCTTTGTGAACTGCCTGTTTTTTTATTACTAGGATTCACCCTAGGCATTTCACCTACACCAAACCGACTCTTACTTACAGAAATAAAGACCAGAGATGTGTTTGTAGTCAGTTTGCATCTGCCACAGGTGGCATCAGCCTCTCTCTCCCCTCTCCTCACAGGTACTCGTCTCTGATGGTCTACAAGTTGCCGGTGGAAGATGTACGACCTTTAGCCCAAGCTTTCTTCAAACTAGAGACTGGTAAGAGAGAGAACCTTTGAAATAAGATCCTGAAAACAGATGATTTCAAATCATACAATAATCCATCCGCATGACAAAAAGGAATGTGACATAACGTATCACATTTAAAAGTTAAAATCTCAATTTGAATTTTTGGAGCACAATATCAAGGAAGTGGAGGGATTCTGTGTGTGAGGGAGGGGAGTAATCGGAGTGATTTTTACTTTTGCTTTGTGGTTTGTTCTCATGTGTTTTTGTATATATATCGGTACAAGCTAAGTCAGTCAATATATATGTACACATATATATTGGTACAAACTCGGTTACAGATGCATTTAAGGAGAATACTTTCCTTTGGAATATTGATGTTAACATACTTAAAATTAAGTTTTATGTAGACTTGCAGATTATTTTATTGCCCGAGGCATTGTATTAAGAAACTGACCTCTTGTCTGGTCGTTAAAACAATCTTCTTGTGTCGGGTGCCCTTGAAAACCGACCACACTTCATCTGTGATCCCCAGGCGCGTGCTTTCCTTGCCATCCAAACCCACTAATGCTGCTACTCTGCACTGTGCTAGCTGGACCTCCCTCCCTATGCTCTTTCTCATTGTCACTGCTCAGTGATATCTCCACTTGTTTGTCACCTTCCCCAAGGAAGAGCTTCAAGTCTCCTGCTTCTAGAAGGCTCTTCTTACTCCCGTTGATAACATCTGTGGTCCCAATGAAGCCTCTTCTTTCTGTTCTCTGGGCCACGAGGTCATTCGCAGCACCCCCCAGATCGGCACTGCGGCCAGTATTGGCCTGGCGCCTTTGGTGGGGTGTTTCTAGTCTCCTGGGCTCTCATCGGGGCTCTAACTACCCTGCTCAGGACACTTTGGTCAGGAAAGAGTATTTTCAACTTGCTTTAGGTCAAGCTGCATTGATAGGAAGAGGCCCGTGAGGATTATCCGCTCCCTGAAAAACATCTTTCTATACAATCTTCTGATACGACCCTTTTCAAAATGTGTCTGCCTCTTACCGCTTCCTGTGCTGAATGTGCAAAAACACTGGCTCACTTGCAGAGAAAGAAGCTGCCTCGGCACCATTTCCTCCTTTAAAAAGAGATCTCGAAACCTGGGCAGCGTGCGAGTATAACACCAGCACCTTTTTCTCCAAACTTATGTGAATGCATTGGTGTTCTTTTAACTGAGTGCTCTGCTTACACCATGAACGATTATTATCGTAACCTTTTTATTTAAGTTTTTTAAAAATGTCGTTTGTACTCTACGCTGACTTCTAACAAACACCATCTGGATATAAAATATACAAACCCCTAATGTATGTCCATCCTCGTGCAGTTAAACAGAGCTACGACCTGGAGGAGTACAGCCTATCGCAGTCCACTCTGGAGCAGGTGGGTCAGTTTTAGTGATTTTTATATCATCCATGGAGTGTACGTATGCAGTAAGTGCATACTCTTTGCGCTCACTTGGAGCTACAGGAAGCGGTGTGACACCCCTCTCTTAATTTTTTCCCTCCATTACAGGTTTTCTTGGAGCTCTCCAAGGAGCAGGAGCTGGAGAATTTTGATGATGAACTTGACCCCTCGGTGAAATGGAAGCTGCTCCCGCAGGAAGAGCCTTGAGGCTCCAGATACCCTGTGTTTCCATTCGAGCCTTTGGTTGATTTTTAAGACATTTATTTTTATAGCATCAATGTATATTTTTAGAAATCATATTATAAACACTGACATATTTTTTTCATGTGGTAGAGAGGAGGAGTGAGTGCTGGGCCAACGCAGTGACCACATGGACAGAGACACTTAACTAAGCCCACCTACCTGCCAGTCACGGCATCTGTATCTTTGCTGGTCACCCTGATTTTATTTTTCTGTATAATGATGAATAAATAATTTTACTTTTATAAGATTGTTTCAGTTTCTGAATATGATATACAAATTTTGCTTAATTTTTTTCATCAAAAACTTAAAACAATTTTTTTCTAACCTAGACTCAGAAATCCATATGTTGACTTTTCTGCAAGTCCGATACTTCAGAAAGCTGATATTTTAGTTAGCATTTAAATGACTGTGTCAAAAAGTATCACACTTATTGAAAGAGATTTTAATGTATTTTCTTATGGCTGAAAATATTAAAACTCATTGGTCATAATGTCTGATACCAATATTTTTGATAACATATTCACTGGTAACACTATCAATAATATAGACGTAGTCTGGAAAACTAAAAACTTGCTATTAGGAATTTATTATACTTTTTTTATTTCTATAAACCAACAGTCTTATTTTCATTGTATTTTTAAGTCAAAACTAAAGATGCTTGCATTGTAACAAATCTCTTATGGATATTTGCCATGTCATCCCAGAAAGTTGATAAATGTAGCAGGTCAAATAATCAACTTGGTGGAAAATATAAAATAAATCTCATGTGTAGTTTTGAAATATGTTTCCTATTTCATGTATTTCATGTGTCTTCTTCTTGACTCATTGGTGTCCTATTTACAAGTTCAGCGCATTCTAATAGAAAATAATTCCTAACATAAGAGCGAGTTTGCTGCTTTAATCAATGTGCTACCAAAATGTAAAGGAAGAAGATACCACACTATGATTAAGGAAGTAAAAACTGGGGACGAGCACATTTCCTAGAAAAATCTTCTAAAAATACCATGCGGGACTACCATAACTACATAAAATGTAGTTAGATGAGATTTCGCGAGCTGTGGGGATGATTCTCTGAGCCTTCCTACCACTTCTTTGCATATCCTTTCTTTCCTTTTGGACTCCTGACCGTCCAGCCTCAGAAAATTCTTAACATCCCAGAAACTTCTGCTGTGGAGAGCACCGCACCCCCCAACTACCTTCCCAGGCCCAGGCTGCTGTGTGGCACAGTGATTTAGAGCATGGCCTAGATTCAGTCCTGGATCTCGGATTTACTATCTGCGCAGACCTTGTTTCCTGTCTGTAAAATGGAGAGATCAGTACCCATCTCCGACGGTTACCATGACAACCAAAAGTGGCAAAGGCAGCAAAAATACCAAAACGCTGTCTGGCTGTTATCAGCAGGGCCCAAGGACTCCATGCCTGGGACAGCACCCTTCTTGTTCATATCCCCTCATTTCCCAAGGGCCAGCAGAGGTGTCTGTAAATAAATAATACACCAGACAGACTTATTTTAATGCAGGATTTTGCATTATAACCCAAAGAAATAATACAAACCAGGTCAGGTTTGTTTTTTGGGTTTTGGTTGTTTTGTTTTGTTTTGTTTTTGTTTCTGTTTTGAAGCTATTTTTCAGGTCAGTGGGAGGGCTCTCCATGGGGCAAGCACAGTTTTAGCAGCCAAGTGACTTTTTCCTCAGCCTATGGGTTGAACCAGCTTTGACATCGCAGACAACTGGGTCTTTGGCAAGGTGACACTGACAGCTGTGTCAAACCTGAGCTTAAGATCTGCACCTGCTCTTTTGCAAGGGAAAGCCTGTGCAGTTCGTCACGTGGTTTCATGTGTCACTGAAGTCTGGTTTGGGCTTCAACTGACATATCTGTGTGAGGGCTTAAGAAAAAATAGTAATACCTTTTCTCCCACTGTCTAAGTTCTTCTGGCTGGGCTAATAGTCAAATGAACACAGAGAGATTAACAGGAGACGATCAAAATTTAATACATGTACTCAAATTCTAAAGATAGCAAGATAACATTAGGTATGTTATGTCATTTTGGACAAAGGAGAAAAGGAGTGAATAGGGTATTAGATTTCAGAAGTGAGAATGGGTGATTTACAGGTAATTGAGGAAGAGCGAACACACGTGGCAGGCAAATTAGTGCTAGGCAACTCAGAAACGATGGGAGATGGGTATCTAGCTAACAGGCCCCCCTGCCTGAAGCCTTCCAATTGACCATATTTAATACAAATTAGACTAAGGTACACATCCTGACTTCCTTCCAGAAGCAGGCTTTTCTATCTGAATATCTTGGGCAGGAAAGGGGGGAAAAGGTCAAATATTCTCTCTGAGTCTTTTGTTTCTTAGTAAACAGCTTAAAATCAATATTCCCAAAAGCAAAGCTTTTGGTCCCCTTCCTCTGCAAAAGAAATCTGTTATCACAAATCTGGTGCTACACAGAGGATGATGAACTTTGAAATGCTGATGATGGCAGATGTTGACATTTCTGAGGCCAATGAGAAAACCTGGAACTAAAAGCTCAGATCAACTCTGTAGATTTTACTCCCAATATGTCACAGCCAGTTAACATTTACAGGCCACAGAAGACAGGAAACATGTTGCTATGTAAAAGATCATTCTTGTTGCTCCTTATGGTTAACCTTACTCTGCCCATTCTTCTTTTAATCCTCATCTCACTTATATTCTATTATTCTTTTAACTTCTTTTGTTTTGCCTTTTGTGGAGACAATACAAAATTGTATTCGAGGGAAATGTTCAATTAAAATAAATTGATTGGCATCCGGTAGCAACAGTACTCCTGGCTAATGGACCGACATTTTTATTTTTTCAACCAGATGTAGAATGTCAAAGAAACATGGCTTCTGTTAAGGGTGGAAAATTTTCAAGTGAGCAAACTAGCTAAGTCAGCTACAGGGAAGAAATATCTTTAGATATCAGAAGTTGTCCTACTTGCTTGTGTGTGGTTTAGGAAGTGTATTGTATAAAATATGTAGATGGCCAATGTCTGCTTCTGTAATCCATTTACTTGTTAATTAAGGGTGTTGTTCCGGGCAAAGATATGCTAACAGCCAACTTCCACTTCTGTAATCTGCTGGCTTGTTCAGGAGACCACCAGGATATGGTCTTGAGCTTTATCAGCTGCCTGCTCTGAAAGCTCAGGGCTGATCTCCTCTAGCCCTGCGTGGTAGAGAGTCAGTCGCCGGCCGGCTAATAAAGGCTCATAATTAATCTCAATTGGCTCCGTGGGTCTCAGAATCGTTCGCGCCATAACACTTCTGTCTCCCATCCCAGATTCCCTCTTGTTCCAGTTTCTATGCTTTTGATTCCTTTTCTTCCCTCATATTTGCACCCTTTCCTTCTCTCTAGGCCTATGACAGATTTTTTTCCCACAATTAAAAAAAAATTGTGCAGTCTTCCAAGATCCCAGAGAGGCTAAGTGATATATTATGTTGAACAAGAGACGCCAAAGGGAACAGGGAAGATTTGGAATATCTTTTCAATGGTGGGAGCCAAATGTCTCAAGAGATATCCATTGTCTACTTCACGTAAGGAGAACACCCACAGCTGTGAAAGGATTGAAGGGAGAGACTAAACTGTTATGATCTCATCATACAGATTCTTAGCAACATCTTGAATGGGTTAATATTCTTTTTGTAAATTCCAGAATTTTCTTACTTATTTTTTTCTGGTAATTTAAATTTTGTGTTTTTATTCTTCTCTGCACATCCAGAGAAAAGATGTTGGCGGTAGGAGGAGGCCAGTGATGGATGTTTTTCAAGAAAAGCACAGTAAACAAGGATGTGGTTGTTATGCAGATTTAAGTCCTTGGCTTCTCCACTGATAAAAGTTTCTAAAGTTTTAGTCATCTTCCTCTTTCTGGTAATGGGAGGGAGACACCCTTACAAATGGAGATTACAAATCTCCACCCTTACAAATGTTCCTTATAAAATGTAAATTTTCCTTCCGCAAAGGTAACTTCTACTTGGTTTTCAGAGCTCGCCTTGTGTCTGCGGTTTCCTAAAAATAACCAGCTCTAAGTAATCCTTACGCCAAAGAGAGATATCGTGGTGTTATATACTGCTCTTCTTCCGAGGGGAAGAGCCATGTCTCGTTTGTCTTTGTAGTCCCAGTTCCCCATACATAGTAGAAGCTCAATAAAAGTCAGACGACTACTCCAAGACATGGAGAATACATACAAGAGCAAGGGAAATATCATTTGAGACCAACTGTTCTGACTTTAAAATAAAGCACGTAGCTGAAAATAACCCGGACATTGTTTGAACAAAAGGCCGTGGTCATTGACAACTGAGAATTAGTGACTAATTTTTCTAGTTACACTATGGGAGCTTTGAGTATCCAAAGAAATCCAGAAAGTTGAACAACAAATGGAAAATCCAAAATCAATGACTAGGAAAATAGATCAAACTTGAAATGATGGTTTGCTTTTTTTTTTTTTAAGACAAAAAAATACGTGATGTATAATCTACCCCATAAGGAGCTCTTATTCATTACTTCAATAACTATATACTTTTGAACACTTTATGTGCCAAACAGTGACACTGTTACAGGAATGTTAAAAGAAGTAAAATGCCATCAGGGAGGGGAGGGAAGAAGACTCATATTAATTAAGCATCCTCTATGCCAGTCATTTAGTTTATCATCTTAAAAGGATAATCATTACCATTTGACAGGTGAGGAGGCTAAGTAGTGGAGTTTGGGTAACTCACCTATTATCACACAGTTGGCAGAGCTGGAATCTGAATCCAGTCTGTCTGGTTCCAAAGCCCCTTGATCATTTCAGTTTATTTAAAATGAAAATAGAACATGGTGAATGCAATGCAAACAATTACATAGAATCGAAGAGGTAGCAGAGTAAGGGTACTTGACTCGTGGCTCTTCCTGGTAAGGTGAGTAAAGTTTGAAGCAAAGAAAACTTCAAGAGTAGGTTTCCTTAAACTTAATTCCTAAAGAATGAATAGGAATATGGCAAGTCATCAAGAGGAAGAATGAAACGCAGGGGAAATGGTAGGGAGTCATGAAACTGACTAATCTAGTTCCCATTCCAATTTGGAAGAGACCAAGACCAATAAACTATAAGATGATTACTTTAACCGCCTAAAATATTGAAGGAGGGGTTACTGGGTAAGGGCAGACCAAAAATGTTCCCA